TGTATAAAAGACTTTTTTGATAAGATTGGTGGTGATGTTAGTAAATGTGTTTTTAAATATTGTGTAATGAAATGTGTGGACATTAGGGAGATTTGTATAGCTCAGTGAACCAATGTTTTCCAGTATACGATTTTACAAAATTATGCATGGGTAAAAGCCATTCAAAGCTCAAGATAACCAGTAGATTTTTATGTTACAGAGTATAAAAAGCCCCTAGAAAGGGTTTCAGATCCCACATTGCAGCTAACCTTTAAGAAAGTCCACCTGTTGACTTTTAGTGCAGTATCAACAAAGATTATCCACAATGATCTAAAAAGGCTGTTGAAACACTCTGCCCTTTTCCAACATGTCTATGGGAGGCTTTGTTTTCTTCATAAACTTCAACCAGAACATATCATAACAGATTGAGTAGTGAAGCAAATAGGAGAATCTAGCTGTCTTCTACTAATCCAGACACTGGAGAGATTTGCAGAACTATAAAACATCACCACTCGTTTTTTGTTTTAGAAAATATAGTTATCTTTCATAAAATATGTTAATATATACTTACTATTGTTATATCTAAATTAATAAATATTTAAATTTTTGTCTTATTTTCTAATAAGGTAAATATAGATAGATGTAACCCAAGTACACAAATGTTCTTTGGGGTTCATTAATTTTAAAGAAAATAAAGGGGTCCTGGGCCCCAAAAGTTTGCAACCCAATGTACTGGAGAAAAGTTATTCATTAAGCAGGTGGGATCCAGAGTGTTGTCTGAGAGAAGTAGGAAGGGTGGTTTCAGAGAAGCAGAGAAAGATCTGTGAAGCACTGAAGTACAAAGGTTACTCAGATGGGAAATGAAAAGTCACTTTGGTCTGGACATGGATTATCTTGCCTATTTCTTTTCCTGTCTTTCAAGGTCAGTATTTGCAAGAGTTCTGTAGTGAACCCAGGCCCCTTCCCAGCTTTCGTGTGATAGCAATGAGTTGGTTTGAGTTGATTGGTGGATTATGAGCCCAGCTCAGCAGGAATATGACTAGCATAGGAAAGGACATGGTGAAATGGAATCTTTAGGACTAGAAACTTTCTGTTGTGCAGTAGAGTTTTACCACCTGTTCATTTCCCACAACTTGCTCTCATATCAAATCCAGAAAAAAGTTCTACCTGACTCTATGTTAATGCAATAATTTACAGCATTATAATGAAGCTCAAATAAATGTTCTCTTTTTTTAAAAAAAAACTATATGAGATAGTCTATTTAGGAAGTTACAGAGGTGGAAGAAGTGAGACATAGGAGAAATGGGCTTGGGAAACAAGTTACAGAGGCAAAGGAAAGGCCCTTGGAACATAGACGGGGGGAGACCAGGGAAACACCCAGGAAAGGGGCCAGGAAGGGAAGGGCACAGACGCACTCCCTAGAGACGCTGCTCTCTTCTCTTTTTACAAAACGCATATTGCGTTGTGGAATAGGAAAGGCACTCGGCTCTACCTTTTGATTTTAGAACAGTTGCTACGTGTTCTTTTTTTAACAAGTTTGCTTTTCTGTCCAAAGTAAGGAACTTTGTGGTCTGTATAGCAGTGTGAAGTCCCCAGTAAACACAGTTCTGAGGGGCACAGCACAAGGCCTAGTGCTCCGAATGAAGGTGGATTCACTGCAAAGCTACTGATGCCTCCACTTCAAGGCCCCTCACTTGCATAGGCCCCTTTTGTATTTGTAATGTTGAGTCTTTTTTTAAAAGACACCCCCCGCCATTGTATTAGCTTCAGGCTTCACAAAACTTAGTCCTGAGGAGTTCTGTGTAAGGGTCTTGGGGGTGAGTAGGACACATACCTCTAAGGAAGGGAGCTTATCCGTAATACTTGAAGTAGTCCATGGCACTGCTCTCAGGGCATTTATTCAATTATTAGCTCAATTATTTAGAAGACAAAATTTTGATATGCAGTATATGAGGTCTGTCTGGAAAAAAGTACAGCCATTGTTAATATAATGAGAACAGTTTGTGCGACCTTTAGGTAACCTGGCAGCCAAGGAGAGTGGACTAGAATGCACATGTGTGAACAATGACAGCTTCATTTTACTAGTCAGTGGGGGCAATAAACACCGTTGAGTGAGCATGTGTACTCTGTGGCCATCCCATTCAAAATGACTGAGCAAGTAGAGCAAGGAATCTGCATAAAATTTTGCATTAAGCTTGGACATTCCTCCACGGAAACTATTGGAATGATTCAGAAGGCCACAGCTGTGGGTGCTGGTGACTGGCAGGTTCATCACATCAGTGCACCACTCCTGCATCTCATCTCGTGCAGTTTTTCTTGAGAAACATCCAATCACCCAGGTGACTCAGCCCCCCTACAGCCCAGATTTGGTGCCCTGTGGCTTCTGGCTTTTCCCGAAACTAAAGTCCCCTTTGAAAGAGAAGAGATTTCAGACCATTGATGAGATTCAGGAAGATATGGAGGCAGAACTGTGTGAGGTCCCAGGGTGCCTACTTTGAAGGGGACTGAGGCGTTATTGTCCTGTGTACAGTGGCGCTTGTATCTTGTGTCTTCTTCAATAAATGTCTCTATTTTCCACATTACATGGCTGGATACCTTCTGGACAGTCCATATATATATATATATATATATATATATATATATATATATGTAATTTATATAAAAACATATACATAATTTGTAAACATACAAACATAAAATTATATAAATATATAAAATATAAAAATATATTTGTACACATATATGAAAAATACTTATATATTTTTTTAATTTTTGTTTTATTTTTTTAAATAAAATAAAATTTTATTTTATAAACGCATTTTTTTAAATTCTTGTTTCTTTATTCTTTTTTGGTTGGATATTTCTTTCTTCCTTCTGGTTCATACTGTTGATTTGAGTCCCAGTTTCCTTCCCATCACAATTGGTTCCCTGTACATTTTCCTTTATTTCACTTAGCATAGCCTTTATTTTTTCATCTAATTTGCAACCAAATTCAACCAATTCTGTGAGCGTCCTTATAACCAGTGTTTTGAACTGTGCATCTGATAGGTTGGCTATCTGTCACTTAGTTTTATTTTTTCTGGACCTTTGATCTATTTTTTCATTTGGGCCATTTTTTTTGGGGGGGGTGGTCTGGGCGTGCCTGTTACATAGTGAGGGGCAGAGCCTTAGGTGTTCACCAGGGTGGGGCAACCCTCAGCCCTGCCTTGTGACCCTGTCTGTGGGGGAGGAGTCTGAGAGGGAACAGTGGCACTTGATCCGGTCTCTGCTGGTTTTCAGTCACTTCGCTCGCTTCCCACAATCAAAGTGGGCCCTTCTGGTGCTGATTTCCATGTTGGGTGGGTTTGTGGACATTCTAGGACCCTGTGTGTCTCTCCAACAAGCTCTCCTGTGAGGCTGGGAGTTTCTCCCCCAGCTGCCTCAACCCTCACAAGTGTTTTCAGTCAATGGTTTGAGGCTTCCCCCCCCCCCCCCCCCCGGGACCCTGGGCCTCCTGGTTTATCTGTGTGCGAATGTGGGGCCGCCCACTCCACCAGCTGCTGTCTTGCCAGGCATCCTCTCCGCCCTTCTCCTCCGCCCTTCTCCGCCCCTTCTACCAGGTCTGGATGAATACGTCATCTTTAACTCCTTGGTTGTTGGACTTCCATACAGTTCGATTTCCTGTCAGTCCTAGTTTTTTGTTTTTTAATTTATTGTTGTCCTTCTTTTGGTTGGATGAGCAGGCACAGTGTGTCTACCTACGCCTCCATCTTGGTCGGAAGTCCACATGGACTTTCATGAGGGGTCCCAAGAAAAAACTCTTCTTTTCTGAAGAACAGGCTAAACTAAAAGCCATTCTCACAGGGCTCCTTTTTAAGGGAAACCTTGAGAAGGAGGCAGTGTTTGTACTTTTCAGACCCTCAGGCTCTGAGGGAATTTTAGTATTATTTAAAGCCTCAGGGCTCAGCAGTATTTACTGACTCTTAACCTTCTTTTCTTTCTGGATTTTTCAGCCCCTTTCTCCAGAGAGTCTTCTGTTATTTTTTCCCCAGTACCATCATGTGGTAAGAGCAGGGCCACAGGGCACTGTGCTGTGCTAACTGCTGGGCAGGCAAAGTCTCTCTGAGGGCAGAGACTCCGCTATCCTAACGTTGCAGATGAGGACACAGTCCCAGAGAAGTTAAGTAACTTGTTGAGGTCACACAGCACAGAGAGCACTAGAGCTGAGACTCAGACCTCAGCGTTGCTGGCAACATCTACTCATTTTATCTTCCTGCTGTCGGATGTCTTGGGATGAGAGTCTAAGAAAATCTCAACACAAAGCACTGTCTTACGGCCTAGTAGCTTTTATTGTTTTACAGTGTAATGTTTTGTTTTTCATCTGGGTGTTAGGCACACAGGCATTGTTTCATTAGTCTTCTTTATACCCTATACTACATATTTTCTGAACATTCTTTTTACAGCTACAAACCTTTTAAATGATTGTAGAAAAAATAATTATTCTTCTTATGAAATACACGTGTAGCAATTTAAAATGCAAAGCAAAAAGCCCCATGAAAATGTCGCCACGCAGAAACACATATTAAGTGTGATATATCATCCCATAGTATTCTTATGTTTATATAGAAAAAGGATAAATAGAAAAGAAATTATTAGGATTGTTTTAGTTATTTAGTGTATATAATAAACCACCCCAGAAGTTAGTGGCTTATAACAACTAAAACCAGTTATTTACCCGGGCCTAGAGGCTCTTTAATGCTTGGTAAAAGATTCGTTACCACAGCCAGTTCCAGAACTTCCCCCGAATTCGGAGGAGTCTCAGTCATCTAACTTCACTGGCCTCTAGGCAGACAGACCTGCAGTTGCCTCACATGCACCAGAGCATGCGGTCACTGGTGTTTCACCCCTTTGTCAGGGCCCGTGCTCCTAGGTGCCTGGCACATTAGATGCTGAATAAAGGTTCATAAACAATAGATTCATTGGCAGTGCCTTTTGTGGACTTGGCTTTTTCTTCACGCTGAATTTTTTTCTTCCTGACTTAGGTATCTGGCTCGAGTAGGGGATCTTGAAGCTACTGACACCGAAGACCCAAATCTGAATTACGGCCTTGTTGTGGACTGTGGCAGCAGTGGCTCCCGGATTTTTGTTTATTTTTGGCCAAGACATAATGGGAACCCCCATGACTTGCTGGACATCAAACAGATGAGAGACCGCAACAGCCAACCAGTGGTTAAAAAAATCAAGCCAGGTACTAACTGGAATTTGTTCGTTTTTGATCTCCTTTATCAACTATGGCCATGAAGGAGGAGAGGAGAGGAAAGAAGAGGGAAAGGGGAAAGCAAGCTGCCCTTTTCTCTTGAGATTCTGCATAATGGGAGGGATATCTCATTCATTGCCTTCCTCTCTCAGATAAATAAATGTTTAGGACCTTAAGCAGAACCTTGTGGGTATCAGTCTTCTGAGTGTTTTGTGATTTATTTTTTAAAGAAGGTACACTTTATCTTTCTTAAGGAATCTCTGCAATGGCAGATACTCCCGAACATGCCAGTGATTACCTTCGTCCTCTGCTGAGCTTTGCCGCTGCTCACGTGCCTGTGAAGAAGCACAAGGAGACGCCCCTTTACATTCTCTGCACAGCGGGCATGAGGCTCCTTCCTGAGAGGTGAGATGCAGGGTCTGAGAAACACGGGGAAATGGCTGACATGAGAGTTGGGGGACTGATTCCATGCATGTCCACTGTGGTCCCCTGGTCTGAAGACGGGACGTGGGTTCACCACAGAGTGGACAGGTAGCACCAAAAGACTCTTTGCTCAAAAAGAGAGCAGATCCTACCCCTACACCCAGTGATTTCACAGTTGTTTTCACAATCAGGGGGTGGAGAGAAAGAGAACGGGAGAAAATCAATGTGTGGTTGCCTTTCACATGCCCTGAACTGGGGATCTGGCCTGCAACCCAGGCATGTGCCCTAAACTGGGAGTTGAACTGGTGACCCCTTGGTTTGCAGGCTGGCAATCAATTCGCTGAGCCACACCAGCCAGGGCTTTAAAGGAAATCTTAAAAGTAAAAAAACAAAACAAAACAAAGCAAAGCAAAAAAAACTCAACTAAAAAACTTCCAATCCTACTACTCTATCAAAACTGTTTCATTTTGCTACATTCCCTTTCTTTCTGTACATCTGTGTGTAGTTTCTACAACATTGCAATCATAACGCACATGCGGTTTAGAATTTTTGCTTTTGACATAACTAATATTTACATTGTTCAAAATTTTAGAAAGTCAGGGAAGAAAGAGTATAGATGACACAGGTAGTGCCACATCACAAGTCTGTGAGTATCCCGATGACTCACAGCGAAGGAGGGGCAGGGTAGGAGGGACTGGGGACAAGCTGTCGGAGGTCAGAAATCCGTCAGCCAGCAGGGCGATGGTTTGGCCAGCTTTTGTGTGTCGGGAGCAAAGGAGAGGATTGCCTCATCTCCTGGCACTGCTTGCCCAGCAACCCCTCTGTCTGTCAGAAAAGTCCTCTTCGAACCAGTTCCACCGTGTAGCTCCACCCCATTTGTCTAAATGTTCATTGTTGGCCTGGAAGCCCTGAATATTAATATTTATTTTGTCTTAAGGATTTGTAAAGAACTCTCCTTTTCTTTTACCTTGTTTTCTGATCACCTGTCTAATGCCCAGCTCTGTCCTGGGCTTATGAAACCACTGCCGCCTCCACAACAACTGTGGTTGTTGACATTAGTGTAACTATCACTGCAAAAACCTGTTTTGTAGAAATGATGTTTTGCTAACTTATTAGCATTTGTGAGCAATATTCAAAATGGATTTAAATCAGCTGGATTGTATTTTTCATTTATTGGCACTAGGTTTTCTTTCTTTGACAATGACTTTGATTAACAAAATTTGTCCTACCTCCTTTTTTTAAATTTTTTATTTTATTGATTTATTTATTTTTGGAGAGAGGGAGAGAAACATGAATGTGTGGTTGCCTCTCATGGGTCCCCTGCTGGGAACTGGCCTGCAACCCAGGTGTGTGCCCTGACTGGGAATCGAACTGCGATTGTGTGGTTCGCAGGCCTACACTCAATCCACTGAGCTACACCAGCCAGGGCTTGTTCTACCTCCTTTTTATTTTGTAATAGAAGAACCCTTAATGAAATACAAAAAAAAATACCAAATACCTGGTGATGTTTAAGGGAAAAAAACCCTTTTTTATTATGGAAATTTCAAATGGATAGAAAAGTAGAGAGAACAGTGTAATGAATCCCCATTCACCCACCACCCAACCTCAGTAGTTATGGTTTTGCCATTAAAAGTCTTTTAAAAAAACAACAGTATTTTACAAAATGAAAGTTAGTATTTTTTAACATAAGTTGGGATCATATGTTGTTTTGTAACCTATGAGAACTCAAAATATATTGGATAAATTTGCATGTCATTACATATGGATATATAAATTGACTTCTTTTTTAAAACATATTTATAGTATTACATTGTGAGGATGTAAATTATTTAACCAATGCCTATTTATGTGTTTTAGGTTATTTTTAGTTTTTCATTGTTATAAATAATGCTGCAGTATCCTTCCTCTTTGAATTTTTATTTGAGGATTTCCTTGCAGTAAATTTCCAAAAGTATAATAGCTGGGTCAAAGGTTAAGCACATTAAAATTTTTGGTACATAGTGTTGGATTGCCCATTAGAGAGGTTGCATGAGCGACTTACATTCCAAACAGCAGTCAGTGTATGTGGGTGCCCAACCCTCCAGATCATAACTGAAAGCAGCAAAGCCCTGCTCTTCGGGAAGATCCACTAGGGAGGGAAAATAGCTGCTCCTGTTCCCCCCGTGAAATTCATACTGCGTGAATTTTACATGCATATCAAGGAACTTTTTTAGAGACTGTACTTGACATTAAATTGGAAGTTACTACATTAAATGTAATTCTTCACTTTGAAGCGCCAACCACTTCCTCGCTGAGTCAGGCTGACAACTGTCTGAACTGGTGAAGTATTTTTGCAATCAGTAATGTTAAAAGTCCAAGCTTGTCAGTCTTGTTTTTAACCAACATTTTCACTAGACTCGTAGTATTACTTCTAGCTTTGTTTCTTTGCTTTTCTTTGCCTGATAATACTGACAACATAAAACTTCAGGGGAAGAAACAACCCTGTAGGCACTAAGCTTCAAACGTTATTCCCAGATTGTTATGACCTTTGGGTTTTGATCTGGATCTGTGATTTTCAAATGATAAGATTTTATAAAGGAGAAAATTTAACTGTGGAATATGGAAAAGGAGATTAAAAAGTTTATTGTAAGCTCACGTAAAGGATTATGAAACACCTGTGAACCTGACAGCGCTTCTTGTGTGGTGAAGTGAGTCATTGTGTCTGAGGATTGTGCTCCTCAGTCTAGCAGCTTACTTTCATAGCAGTTAGGAAAAATGTAATTACACCTATTTTAACAGGTTGTGAAACCGTGCTTCAACTTCTTGTGGCTTATGCAGCCTGTGAGAGACACAGAACCACAGTCTTGTCTTTTAACACCGTTTGAATTGTAACATCATAGAAAGGAAAAGTATTACTATTACCATATTGCCTTTTAAGTAGGAGGCTATATTTTGAAGGCAGTTTAAACCTTTGGAGTGAAAGGAGGTACCGAAGGAAAGCAGGGCTTGACAAGGGATGAGGTAGGTGAACAGCAAGGTCATATAACAAGGCTAAATAGAAGGTCAGGTTGAGGCTGTGAGAAGAGAATTTAACGATTAACTTTTGGTTCTTTCTTGCAGGAAGCAGTTGGCTATCTTGTCTGATCTAGTGCAAGATTTACCACTGGAGTTTGACTTCCTCTTTTCACAGTCTCAGGCCGAAGTGATCTCTGGGAAGCAGGAAGGTACTGGGCCTTGAGGGCCGAACTGGTTCACCTCCCAGCCAGCCACGACATAGTCTCTGCAAAGGGTGTCTAGATTACTTTATAGATCTGATTTTCATTTTTCTCACAATAATTTTCTTGATTCTGCTATCTAGTTTATTTTATTATTTGCATATTACACATTGGTATCTGCTTTAGAATGCTGCTTCTAGAAGACATAAATTTATGTTTTTAACTTTATGCTAAAGACTGTGTTTATAAGAATGTATTAGTATTTAATGGTGATTCCAAATGGATCTTTAGTTATAAAAAAAAAGACACCTCCAAACCCCCCCTACCCCCCTTTTATGCCCCCCCCACACCACCCCCTCTCCACCAAAAATTATATTTTACATTTCCCTTTACCCCCACCTCCCTTGGCTAATTATAGTTTTAAAAACATACATGCATTCAGGAATTGTACTGAGTTTGCCAAATTCAAATGTAAAGCAAGTTATTACAGCAAAGGGAAACTTCAGTTTCAGGCACTGATCAGGACGAGTCCCTTCTGTCCTGGGCTCTCCCGTTATCCCATTTTCTAGTCCTGGTGCTTCCTGACACCCCACACTGCTGGGTGTGTAGGTTTGGGGTGGAGTTGAACGAGTGTCCTCAGGTAGCCCAAATGTGGCCTCCGTGATGAATTATATCTTCATTTCTTGAAAAAGCAGATCCTTTTTGTCTTCTAGTTGCCATCTACATAAGGGAAAAGATTTACTTCTTTTCAATTTCAACATTGCATTTTTCAGTCCCCAAACTTTCATTTAACTCTTTTTATTTTCCATCTCTTTATTGAGACTTTCTGTCTTTCCATTCACTATAAGACTGATTTTATTTCTTGGTTATGTTGCTGCTTTAATATCTTCGCCTGAAAATTCTGACATCTTTGTCACATCAGGGTCAGCATCTTTTGACCATCTTTTCCCTTATGAGTTGAGATTTTCCTAGTTCTTTGTACACCAAGTAATTTTATATTGCAATCTGGGCATTTTGAATATTACATTATAAGACTCTGTGTCTTGTTTCAATCATGAGAAGACTATTGATGTTCGTTTGAGCAGTTGACCTGGCTAGGTTCAGGCCTCAAGTTCAGTCCTGCCTTCTGTGGGCTGTGAGTCTATTCATTCATTTTTTCAAAGCTATGGCACTGCTATTTGGATTTGTCCCCTGTGTGTGCCAGCTGTTGGCCAGTCTGGAACCTGGGCATAGCCCATACGAATTGATTGTCTGGCCCCTACCTCAGTTCTGAAAACCTTCGATACATCGCTTACAGTCAGATCCTGCATGTATCGCTTGGAGGTGAGCCCAGGAGTTGTATACCATTTTATTCCCTTTTCTCCACACTCTTCCCAACACTCTCTGGTTCCCCGGGGCTTACTTTTATGGTCTTCTGGTCAGAGAGCTAGAGTTTTAATTTGTCCACTCTGTCATGCATACCCATGATTGTGTCTGCATCCAGGGCCAAGTGGTAGAGGACAGAGGGAGGAAAAATTAAGCATAGGGATTTGCTGCAACTCTTGAGGCACAGCTCCACTGGTCAGAGAGAAGGATTCACATCCATCAGAGTTTTAGGTGTGGAGTCCTCTTTCCAGCTCCTCAGAACAGAAAGCAAGCAAGTTCTTTCTGTCCACACCCCGTGTATACTTTTGTTCCAATCAAGCTGCTTTAGAGTCCAGGCTAGGCAATATAAGAGGGGAAAAAAATGGGAAGCTCGTTATTGGTTTGGTGGTTCTTTAAATTCTGATCTCTGTTCCAGCGTGTCTGCTATCACTTACTTTCAGAGTTCTCAGCAAGCTGCCCCTACATTCCATCCTTTACACTTCAGTGGGAAGCCTGGGTGGAATGTGTTTACTCTGTCTCATCCAGGATCAGAACTCCAAGATTTACTTTATTTAACGTTTGTTTCTACATAATAATTCCTACTCATTGCAGGAAATTTAGAAAGGCAGATGATTTTAAAAGGAAAAACATCACAGGATAAAAAATTTTAAATTTATATGCTGAGAGTGTGGAGTAAAAAATTATTAGCAACTTTTCTGAGCAAAAGGAGAATAAGAACAGTCTCTTGGAGAGAGAGGCATATGCATGGTGTGGCCACAGGGAATTAAGTGAGGGCTTTTACTCCTGTATTTCTCTCTTAGGGGTTTATGCATGGATTGGAATCAACTTTGTTTTGGGAAGATTTGACCATGAGGATGGTAAGTGATGTGGTCTTCTTATGAAGTTCTTTAAATAAGGGTTGAAGGTTTAAATCATACCCTATCAGTAGCATTTTATTGTGTTCTTTTTTAAAACTTAACTTGCTTCATTTTCCAGCCTAACATCTTTTATTTCTTTTTCACTTTTTAGTATGGAAAATTTCAAACTATCACAAAAGTAGAGCAAATGATAAAATGAACCTCTAGGAATCTGTCACCCAGACTCAACACTTACCAACATTTTGCCATTTTTTAGTCCCTACACTCCCTCCACACAAGGATATTTATCCTATTGGATTTTTTTTAGGACAACAAATGCCTGTATTACATGAGCTCAGATGGGAGGGAGGAGGATATGTTTGCCCTTCTGGGCCTTGGTCTGCCTCAGAACCCCAGCTCCCTGCCCTCCAGCGCACAGCCACTGCTTGGCCACGCCAGCCTGGCCGTGGAGGATGCATGCAGGAAGCTTGCCCTGTGGGGATTACCCCTCTAGAAGACTCCCGATTTTGGTATTCTTTTTCCTTTCATTGTACTTCTTCTGAATTTTCTTTAGTTGTTTTTGTTTAAAATTTCTTCCTCCTCAGGAGTTAGCTTGGGCCGCTTCTTGTGGCCCAGAGGCAGTGTCCCATGGGGCTCAGAGCACTTCAGTGGGTGTCGCATGCTGTCAGGGGGCACAGTGAAGTTATTTTTTTAAATTTATTTTTTATTGTATTTTTCCAACAATGCTGCTCTTTCCCAGGGTCTTGGTGAGGACCAGTTCGTTGCTGGATGCACTGCAACAGCATCAATACTCCTTGTTCTGCCTGTACAACGCTCCGAGCCCCAGGAGCAGTTGCCCACGTCCAGCCTATGGACGGACTGTGTGTGTGAGGTGGGGGCCAATCTCGGTGTTGGCAGCAGGGCGTCCCAGCTCTTACATTCATTCCCTTACAGCTGGGCTTTCTCTTGCCTGTCTTGTGGGGCTTACACAGTTTGTTCTGAGAGATGACCATAGCTCAGCACCAGCTACAAAGAGCTCTCCTATGGGATTTTTAAAAGCAAGCTCCAGACATCTTTTACCTTCACATACTTTTGTGTCTATCTCAAACAGATAAGGAGTTTCAAAACAAACACATACGCACTGTGCCATTTTTATACTTAACAAAATTAACAATTCCTAATAGGTAACACCCATTTGATACCCAGGTAGAGACATCCCTGATTGTCTCAAGAATATTTATCTGTATCTGTCTTCTTAAATCAGAATCTGAACAAGGATCACAAATTGCATTTGATTGATATGTCTCTTTTAATTCATAACAGTTAACTTTCTACCTCTTTTTTCCAAACATTCATTAAACACACACACACACACACACACACACACACACACACACACACAACTAGTTGATTGACAGAATGAATGAATGTGCCACGTTCTAAATTTGGTCAACCGCATCTTTGTGGGTCTTTAATGTGTTTCTCATTCCCATATGTGTCCTACAAATTGGAGATGAGATATAGAGGCTTTCTTAGACTCCAGTGCAGTCCTTTTCCCAAGAAGAAAGCATAGGTGGTGCTGAGAGTTTCTTCCTCCATCACATCAAGAGTCTGGCTGTGATGTGTGGTTGTCTCACTTATAGCCATGTTAAGTAAGACTGAACAGATAGGTATTCATGGTTCAGGTATTGTCAGCCTGATCTAGTCTATTCTAAAAATTCCCCATTCACTTTTCACCTTATGGTTTAGTAGCCAATTATGGTCAGTTGCTTGGATCTGTTTTTTCACTGGAAGTTGCAAAATGATGATTTTGCTAATTCTGTCATTCCTTCTGCATTTAACAGCTGGAATTTTTTAAAAAGATTTTATTTATGTTTAGAGAGGGGGAGGGAGAGAGAAAAGAGGGAGAGAAACATTATGTGCAAGAGATACATCTATTGGTTGCCTCTTGCACGTCCCCAACTGGGGAATCTAGCCCGCAACCCAGGCCTGTGCCCTGACCGGGAATCAAACCTGTGACCTTTTGCTTCACAGGGCGGAACCAATCCACTGAGCCACACCAGCCAGGGCTGGACATTTTATAAAATGAAATCTTCTTCATCAACTATTTGGTTATCCTGAAATACAAAATTCTGAGAGATTCTGTCTTTATGGGAAAGTCAGAATAAATCTTTGATTCTTTCCCTTTATTTATCAAAATAATGACTCGGTGTCCTAGCAGCTTCCAAAGGCAACCAGTGAAGTTTATTTTCAGTATTACTCTGAACTTGTAGATTTTAATGTAGTTGATGCATGACTGTCCAACATATCACTTTTTGGTGCTTTAGTGCCCCAAACATACCATCACTGATGAGTAGGAACACCTTTAGGTCACTCTTCTTAACTCGGTCCCAGTGTTTGTATTTCCCATGCTGTCGGCACACCAGGGGCTCCCTGCTCAACACCGTGTTCACCCTGGACCTGGGCGTCAGGCTTTCTGTTTGTGAAGGAGTCCTGGTTTGTTTTAGCGGAAAAGGATACCTAGAGGCTGTGGTCTAAATACCAGGGATGCTGATAGCTCCTGGGTTATCATTTCCAGCCAAGGAAATATGTATTTTTTAGAAAGTAAAAATATAAACCATGAGTTCACAATGACATCTCCAACTCGTATTTAAGGTTATAAAATTATTGTTTCATTTCTTTGATTTTATACTTTTATCCTTTTTCTCTTATGCTGAATATTTGTTCCTAAAGATGTTAACATATTTATTTGCTTTATTCCATAATATATGTTTAATGGTTTTAAAATTATATCAGTAATATGAATAATATTACCAATAAGACTGCTAGACTGCGGTTTAAGATATTTGTTTCTTTTGTCATTAAATATATTCTACAAGGAATATTATCAAAATACCATGTTTTAAGTCACTTGAAATAATTCTCAGTGTAATACACAGTTAATTTCTTTCTGTTCACTTTCAATTTTTTAAGGTGTTGCTGTCTTTTGTTTTTTTCCTTTTTGACCTAATCTTGGTTTTAAATGACTGGACCCCTTCTGTTCCCGTTTGTCTCAGAATCCGATGCTGGAGCTCCCCAGGAGCTGGCAGCAGGACGCAGGAGGACAGTGGGGATCCTGGATATGGGGGGAGCCTCTCTTCAGATTGCTTATGAAGTTCCTACCTCAGCCTCTGTCCTTCCTCCAAAAGAGGTATTTCACCCTTTAGGGAGAGTCGCCAGGGATGCCAGTATTTAAAAAAGAAGGGCACTGTCTTTGGCTAGAGACCAACTTGCCTGGGTACAAATACTTGTTCAGTACTTGCCAGCTTATGCCATCTCTCTGAGCATCAGTTTCCTTGTATGTAGAAAGAGAATAATAATAGTCTTTATTTCACAAAGTTGTGAGGATGAAATACCAAGTGTATAAAGTACTAAGCAAAATGCCAAGCATATAATAAATGTTTAATACATTTTGGCAATTATAAATATACTACCTATATTCCTGGGTTGCCTGAGAATTAAACATGGCAATACATCTAAATCCCAGAGCATAGTATTTGATGCATACTTGTTTGTTAAGTTTATTCCCTTTTTCTTACCAAAGATTCCATTCTTACAAACCCCTTACCTGACTAGAATGTAAAGAATGCACTTTGAGGGGGATATTTTATCAGAGAGAGGGAAAAAAATACAGACACTTGTGAGCACCTGTTACGTGTTGGGAACGAGACATGTTACACTGGTCCCCAAAGCTTGTAATCTATCAGTGGAGACACCTACAGTAACAGGCCAGCCATGACAGTGCTGGGGTTCGACGTAAGCCAGGGTTTCTTGGCACTGTTGACTTGTTGGCCTGGATGAATCTTTGTTGTAGGGACTGTCCTGTGCCTCGTATCACGTTTAGCAGCATCCCTGGCCTCTACTAGATGCTAGTAACACTGCCCACCCCAAACTCTCAGTTTTAACAAAAGTGTCTCTACATGTTGCCAAATGTCTCTTGGGGTTACAACATCACCCTGGCTGAGAACCTCTGGTCTAAACAAAGCTGTGGCAGTGTGTGCACTGGCAGGGTCGACTGCATTTGCAAGGCTGGAATAGGAGTCATGCCAGCTTCCACCATTTCCCATTTTCCTGGGCCTCCGGTGATGATAGGATTTTGCATAGTGGAGGTTGGAGGAAGGCCATCTGCACAGAGCGAACAAAATGCACAAAGGCACAGACAAAGCAAAGCACCCAGAATATCCAGGGAATAGCCTGTTGAAGCATAGGATTTGCAGTTGTGATAAAAGGTGAGGCCAGGGAGATAAGATGAAGTTAAATCATGAGGAGGAGTCTGGGGTCCCATGCTGGGATTCGGCTTTCATATCTACAGGTAGTGGGGAACCAGCAAAGGTTTTGAGCAGGGCATTCATATGGGCCTCAGTTTCATCATCTATGAAGTAATTAAGACCCGAAGGGCCTTCCCAGCTCTGAACTTTGTGGCTATGTTAATTGTATGGCTGTGATCCAGTCTATGTATTTTTTAGGAAAATAATGTTGGTGTTAGAGAGAGAAATGTAGGTCAGGGAACCTTGGTTGAAAAGTGATAAGAGGCTGAACTAGACAATGGAAGTGGAAATGGAAAGAAAGGGACAAATTTAGGATATTTTGGAGTGAAAAACCAGTGTAATGTGGTGGTATGGGTAAGGTGGGGGTGGGGGGTTGGCCAGTAATTCCAGGGGTCCAGCTCAGAGAGCTAACTGGCAGTGGGAGGAGCCCAGTCACTGAGAGAGACCGCAGGGGAAAGGGCAGGCTTGATGCTGGGCAAACCAGGATGTCCAGGTGGTTTGGGTGAGAGTGTCTGTTTGGTTTCCAGCTGAAGTCCTACAACCAATGAGTTCAGTTTTAGGTGTGCGGAGTTTGAAATATCTAAATGTCTACATGTCCCACAAGGGCATTTTGTGTGTGCAGATTTAGAAAGCAGCACTGATACAGAAATGGACTCTCGAAAAACAAATGGTCGTACACACAACAGTATAATGGATCATAAAGATGAATCTTAGTGCTTGATAAAAAAAAGGTAAAAACAATGAAGCATAACACAATAGCACTTCTAAAACTTAACCCTAAATGTCTAATGTATTTTTGTACAATTCATAAAATTATACACATTCATAAAATTACACAACCACCATTGTTGAGTTCCAGAATGTTTTCATCACTCCAAAAAGAAACCTTTTATTCATTACCAGTTAAAAATAAAATAGAAAGAGAGAGAATACATCTGTATTGGAGGTACGATAAAATTGAACTTTCTAATTTCAGATCTGTCACAGGGAACATTATGACGTCTCGAATCGTTTTAGAAAAGGTCATAGAATAGAGCTCATGATGATCTCCCAAATTCTTTTAATTCATTTTTATCAAAGATTTAAAAAATTCTAATTATAAAAACAGTACATTCCCATTTTGGTGAACTGGACAATGAGAAAAGTACCACACATGTGAGAAAATGCAATATCTGTAATGATTCTGCCTTCTGTAAAACTGCAAATAGTGTTTTGGTCTTCACTTTGATGTTCAGCTTCTGATTTATGCTTTTTTACAGTCTTGCCATTTTAGGTTTTTGTTTAAAATAATGCTATGAGGATGAAAGAATGCCACAAGATATTTTAAAGAGTAGTCATAAGGAATGAAGCCTAGTGTATTAGCAATGTCCTAGCTTTCTAGAAATTGACCTAAACTGAAATTCCCTTTTTTCTCTTTGTGTGGTGTTACAGGAAGACGCTGCAAAGATCCTGCTGGCTGAGTTCAACCTGGGTTGTGATGTGCAACACACCAAACACGTGTATAGGGTTTACGTCACCACCTTTCTGGGTTTTGGGGGCAACTTTGCCCGACAGCGCTATGAAGACCTTGTGCTGAATGAAACTGTTAACAAAAACAGGTACGTTTGACATGGGATCTGTGCTTCTGGAATAGAATTCCAGGAATTCTATTGTCAGGTTTCAGATATTGGAAATATTCATGTTCTACTAAGGCACATCCTTACTTTCTTCTTCTGACCAGCCCTGCCAACGGGGGAGCATCTCCTGGAGACCCTCCATTAGCTGACCGAGATGAGAGTGTGTTCTAATCTTTGTTATTAGAATTCATAAAAATGTATAGTGGCTTCCCGTGGTGACCGCTTGCTGTGTCTCACTTCAGATGTCGCAGCATTAGGTGAGGTTAGTTAAATTGTCAATTTTAAATGTGCAGTATAATGTAGACTCTAGCAGTTCCTTCTGCATGGAAGTGCTTGTGACAGGCTTGTTGAATTGAATTATTAGTAGAGTGGAATTGCATGTTACGCAGGAGTTATGTTCCATAGTGCACTTAAAGGGTAAAAAGCATGTAGTCAAAATTATCCTTTTTTAAAAAATCCTCACTCAAGGACATGCTAATTGATTTAGAGGGAGGGGATAGGAGGGAAAGAGAGCAGTAGAGGAACACTGACGTGAGAAAGAAACATCAGTCTGTTGCTTCTTGCACATATCCTGACTGGGAATCCAACCTACAACCTAGGCATGTGCCCTGACCTGGAATCAAACCTGCATCCTTTCAGTTTATGGGATAATGCTCCAACCAACTGAGCCACAGTGGCCAGGGCAAAATTAATTTTTAAATTGTTCTATCATTAATTTCAGAATCACCAGTTTTTCCTCCAGCATGGACCAGATCACTGATTTTTTTAAATTTGAGTATCAGATAAAGCAGACCATAATGTATAAACAGTTGTGGGTTTTTTTTAGTATTTAAAATTATTTTATCATCATGTATATTGAAGGAAAACATAATAGATGGTTGAGTTCTTTCTACCCTACAATTATTTACCCCATTTGTTTAGCTAGAAACACTAGTTTGAAAAGTTATTGCTATATCCCATTGGTAGGGGTGCTGGTATATCCCAGTTCTCCACAGAACTCAATTATCCTTTGTTGGGACCATGTAAAAAAAATACTGTCTCATAAGTCTTTTTTGTTTTTGTAAGGAAGAGTTTAAGAACTTTTGGGAGAATCCTGTTATCCTGGATAATTGGTAAATGCATTAAAATTGGGCAGTGTGTTTGTATTTGAAAAGGCTCTCAAATCCATACAAGTGTTGCTTGGATTGTGGGGCTCAGACCCCTCCTGCTGACACTGACGTCCAAACTATTATTGTGAAAGTTTCACACCAACTTAGTTTTGTTCCTTCTTCATTAGCCACTCTGCTCCCTTTTCCATTTTCTTCCTTTATTGTTCTGCTGCTCTTTTTTCTCTGGCTGCTGTTTTCTGCAGCCTCAGACCTTGCCAGGCTATGCCTTCTTCTTCCCGGGCATCTGCATGTTCCTGCCATGTATGTAAGTCACGTAATTCAGAAGCATGGCTGCTCATCTCACGTAGCTGCTGATCTACTAGAGAAACCTGTGCTTCCTGAGATGTCAAAACTGGTTCTCTCTTAATGATAATTTTCTAAGTTTTCCTTATAGCTGCTGTCACCTCCTTTAAACAGGTCCTGGTGTGCCCCAGCATTTGTTCGTGTTGCTACACCCCCATTCCCTTCTTCAGTCTTTGTCCTCGCGTGTGCAGCCTCATCCCAGGAAGTCCACTCTTCAGTGTCCGTCTCTTTAGGAACTGAGGCACGGTTAACTGCAATTGGCAACGCTACTTGATCTCCAGTTAACTTTCGCTCTTGGCAAGGTCTGCACGTCAGTCTCTTTAAGAATGGGAGTACTGTTGCTAGGCTAGTGCACACTTGTACTCCCAGAGCTGTGTGATGGCTGTGGTGGGACTCAAACCTGTCCCCTCCCTCGCACGTCAGAGCCAGGGCGCGCACCTCCCTGGGCTTTTGACACTGCACCCAGGCCACATCCCCTCCTCAGGAGATGCCTCCAGCCCTTCCCACTTCGTCTCCTCCCAGTCATTATTTTAAACATTAGAACCACAATTAGCGGGGTGAGAGCTTTGCACTTTTAAGAGGCAAGTGTGAATAAAGCCCTGATACAGAATAGCTAATTCACATCTCCAACTGTACCTTGCACTGAGAAATATACACGTTGACTAAAAGGTTGAACAAAATTGACCACTGCCATATTTCTCTTTTTCTTTTTTGCTAGATTGAATTTGCTTAAGTTAAATGTATATATGACTCAACTACATGGTCATGCTCCACCCTTGTTTCTAGGGGTATCATGTAAAACAATTACAAGGTGTCTGTGAAGCACATTCTTAGACGGGGTTGCTTCCATCAGGCGTTTCTTAGAGTAGGTGGAGCACAGTAGTTGATATGTTTTTGTTCTCGACATTTGATAGGTTGCTGGGCGAGAAGACAGGTCTGAGTACTGACAGTCCATTTCTGGATCCTTGCCTGCCTGTGGGACTCACCGATGTGGTGGAGAGGAACAACCAGGTCCTGCATGTCCGTGGAAAGGGAGACTGGGTGACTTGTGGGGCAAAGCTGAGCCCCCTGCTTGCCCGCCCCAACACCAGCCAGGCCTCACTGAATGGCATCTACCAATCTCCAATCGACTTCAACAACAGCGAGTTCTATGGTTTCTCCGAGTTTTTTTACTGTACAGAGGACGTGTTGCGCATCGGTGGCCGCTACCATGGGCCAACATTTGCCAAGGCTGCGCAGGTAAATTATTAATAAGAAGGATGACTCATGCCATCAGTGGCTATTTATTAGATGCCTAACGAGGTGCTGTGCAAAGAGCATGGTTTCATGCTCTTTGCGTGCATGGTTTCACTTGACTCTTCGCAACAGCTGTATCAGCTCACGTTTTACAGATGAGGAAATACAGTACTTAGAGAACTTAAGGGACCTGCTATGCTATACTGCCTTCAGTGAATTAAGCTTAGCTTTCCCAAAGGGTGTCCTGTCACCCACAGTGTCACCCAGGTCTAACATTGTTGTGACAACTAGTAGTTTTTCCTCCAGCTTACCAACCGTCCTGTTTCATGTTTATGGCCAAGTAGTGTCACCTGCAGAGGGTTTTCCCCTTGCTGGTGTCTCCAGTTGTACTGTGCTTTTGGAGATGATGTCACACAGGTGGCTGAGTCCATTTTCATTGTCTTGGTTTGAGCTGTTTAAAAGTTGGAGTAGTAGAGGATCACTAAGAATAGGAGAAAGATGCAAAAAATGTGCACTGATGGTGGAAGAATTTTTTTAATTTAAAATGCAGAAGAAGTAAACATTTATTTTGAGCATATATAAGACTTAAGTATCCTATAGGCTTAAATCATTAGTTACCTGGACAGGTGAAAGTTCAACTAGCCTTCTATAGATCCTCCTTCAATTTAGATTTATCACTTTGAACTTCTGTGTATATCTAGCTGATCTCTCTCTTTTATCAGAGAAACTTACAGGAAGAATCTGTTCTCTTGAATTTTTTATTCTTTGCTTTCTTATAATTCTCTCGGGTCTCTTGGTGGGAGACTTCCAGTGGAGTAATTCTGCAGCGTGTACTGTTCTGTTCCCTGAAGGCAGTCCCTGGGGAATATTGAGGAAAACCGGGCTTATGTTTGCTTTTTCCTCCCCAGCCTCCAGGAATACCCTCAAACTCCTTTTCCTTTTCCTGTGTCCCGGGCTCCCTGATTGTTCATGGCTTGAATCTTTCTCTCATTGTAAAACTTCTTCAAATTCTACTCCCTTGAATACCAAAGAGCTCAAATTATTGCTTGCTTGAGTTGGTAGGGGCTTAATATGTTCTCTTTCCCAGGTAAATGATTTCCTTTCCTTATTTTTTTTCACTTTGACTCTTATTTTATCTTTCCAGGGACTCCTTCCCTGGCCATGCTACCCAAAATTGGAGCCTTCCCCATTCTTACCTCTTTCCTTTTCCTGCTTTATTTTCCTGTGAGCATTTAGGTCATTTAACACACACTGTATGCATTTGTATATGTGTCTATTTGGTTATCCTCTGTCCCCACCACTAGAACATAGGCTTCCGAGAAATGGAGAAAACTCAACAGAAATCTTTGTTGTATTTACTGCTGGTATCCCCTGGCGTGTGGAACAGCACCTGGCACATAGTGGACATTCAGGAAATGCTTGCTAGTTTACCGAAAAAACTGAAAGGAATGATTCCTTTGGTGAGAATTACCACTTGGAGGCAGGCCAGTGCCAGGTTTTGGGCCATTCTGTTCCATCTGCTTCACCTGCTCGTGTTGGGCCTTTGTAGAGTGGAGTGAAGCTGTCTTTGGATTTTGAAGTTGATACTCCTGGTCCTAAACTTACCTGTCTTTGCAGCCTAGGAGGCTTAGGAGTCATCTCAGGCTGGCTTCGTACTGGACTTGGAGGTACTAGGAGTAAAAAGGAGTATTTCCAGTCCACTCAACGCTCGCAGAAGCCCAGGGTCTGGGACTTGCCTTGCACAGCACACGACATAGTACTGAGCGAACGAATATGACATGTCTGTTTTCCTTTGTCCACTAGTAGCCCTCAGGTCACTTTAGAAATGGAACGGTTGTGACTCTGGAGGAAGTTACAGAGTTTGCCTCCAATTTCATGTTGCACTTTTTCTCTCTGGTTTTCCCAGGATTACTGCAGCATGACTTGGTCAGTACTGACTCAGAGATTCAGGAATGGCCTTTATTCACCACATGCAGATGAGCATCGACTCAAGTAAGTTACTTCCTTTTCCCCCTTAGATGTGACCTTAAAATGTAGGTATAGTGTAAGGAGGGGAACAAGCGATGGCACAGATTGGGTTTCACGTGGAATGAGAATTTGATTATATCAGATTTTGATTTTTCTGAATGCTAGGGGCCAAATAGGGAGCCTATTTTAGTGAAGCCAAAGGAAACCAGTGGTTTCAGAGTTCTCTCCAAGTGGCTTGAAATCAAAAGTGGTGGTATTTAAAAAAAAACAACAAACTTTTCATTAAAATATCAAACATGCAGAAAAGTAGAAATAACATAAACACTCATGTAACTATCACTCAGCTTCAACAGATATCAGTATTTGTCAGTTTGGTTCATTTGTCCTCCTGTTTTATAAACATTTTAGTTTAAAAATTTGAAAACATAAAAATAATGAACTTCTGTGGACCTATCAGCCAGCTTCCCTGCTAACAGTTGTCAACAGTGGTCCTGGCCAGTCATGTCTCATCTGTTTTCCCACCCACGACCCCCTCTGATCATAACTGGGTTCTTTTGAAGCAAATCCCAGACTTCGCCTAAAGGAGAACGTAGGCAGGAAATCTCAGATATTCCATGTAAAAATATTTTCACCCATATGTCCCTTAGAGCAAGGGACATAAAGATAAGAATAAACAAATGGGGCTTCATCAAAATAAAAAGTTTCTGCATAGCTAAAGAAAACATAAGCAAAATGAAAAGGGAACCAACTGTATGGGAAAATATATTTGCAAATGATACCTCAAACAAGGGTTTGATCACCAAATTATATAAAGAACTCACACAACCCAATTCCAGGAAGACAAAAAAAAAAACAATGAAAAAAATGGGCAAAGGACCTGAACAGACACTTCTCCAAGGAGGACATACAGAGGGCCCAGAGACATATGAAAGGATGCTCAGCATGACTAGCAATCAGAGAGATGCAAATTAAAACCACAATGAGATACCATTTCACATGGGTCAGAGTGGCCATCATAACCAAGTTAACAAAAAACAAGTGTTGGAGAGGTTGTGGAGAAAAGGGAACCCTACTGCACTGTTGGTGGAAATGCAGACTGGTGCAGCCACTGTGGAAAACAGTAAGGAATTTCCTCAGAAAACTAAAAATGGAACTGCCTTTTGACTCGGTAAGTCCATTGCTGGGATTATATCCTAAGAATCCTGAAAAAGCAATTCAAAAGAACCAATGTATCCCAATGTCCATAGCAGCACAATTTACAGTAGCTGAGCACTGGAAGCAACATAAGTGCTCATCAGTGAATGAGTGGATCAAAACACTATGGTACATTTACATAATGGAATACGCAGCAGAGAGAAAGGAGGTCCTACCCTTTGCAAGAGCACAGATGGAACTGAAGAGCATTATGCTAAGTGAAATAAATCAGGAGGTGAAAGACAAATACCTTATGATCTCACCTATAAGTAGAACCTATCAAGTAGAATCAATAAAACAAACAAGCAAAATATAACCAGAAACATTGAAATAAAAAACTGACAGTAACCAGAGGGGAGGAAGGAGGGAATATTGGGAGAAAAGGGGAATGGTTGTTAAGGAAAACGTATAAAGGACACGTGGACAAACCCAAAGGTGGTAGGATTGAAGGTGGGAGGTGGGGATGGGTAGGGTGGAGGGGACTGGTGGGGGGAAAAATGGAGACAACTGTACTTGAACAGTTTTATAAAAACTGGAAAAAATCCTATACTTTATAATTACATATGTAGATATTCCAGCATATTCTCTGAAAATAAGATCTCTTTTTAAAAAAGGAAAGAAAATATTGCCATAATATTTTTACTGCATAAAGGTGCTCCTCACATACATAGTAAATGTTAAGATAAAGTAGACTCAAAAGTAGACACCTCCCCCTAGAGGTGAGGGAGGTAAAGCTGGTAGAGAATTTTTTGACATCCAGTAGGAGTACACAAAGGAAAGCATTAATTAAAAAATTTTTTCTAAATCTTTAAACATTTTTAAATTATTTATTCTTTGTCACACAGATACCAGTGTTTTAAATCAGCTTGGATGTACCAAGTTCTTCATGAAGGATTCCACTTTCCTTATGACTACCCAAACCTACAGACAGCCCAGCTGGTATACGACCGAGAGGTTCAGTGGACACTGGGAGCCATTCTGTATAAGACACGATTCCTACCGCTCAGGTAAGGTGGACTGACCAAGCCGGCATCTTGAGCTCCGACCATGATAGTGTCTCAGAATAGGTTTCTTAAGCAATAACCCGAAAACAAGCAAGCAAACAATTCCCTTTATTACTACCAGGTGAACTGTCATTACTAACCAGGCATGTTGAAACAGAAAGAAGGTTGAGCATTATGGGTCTGGAGTCTGTTACTTAGCTTTGAAATTTTGTAAATTCAGTTTTATTTGTTGATCCACAACAAATAAACCTTTAAGATTGAACTCTCACTAACTACTTCCAAGATACTGACTGATAAACTAAAATGTCATCCATTGTTAATTTACCCTGGAAAACCTATGTGACTGGGGAAATGCGCTAGGCTCTCTGTGTGGAGCCATCTCTCCTGATGGCGAGCACCCCTCCAGAGGTGGTGTCCTTGCCTTGGAGGGCTTCTGGTGGGCCGAGATTTGAGCAAAGGGCGTGAGGTGCTCCTAGGGCGGTATTTGCATCCAGCAATGGTAGCCTGATGTCTTGCTGTGAGAATCACAAGATGTTTGGGATAATCTTTAGGTATTCTCTCCCCTGGATTATTTCTGGTAAAGTAAAATGAATTCTTATTTTTTTGGGGGGGTGCCTGTTTTACTACACTCCGTGCTGTCAGAAGCCTGCAGGTGATAGAAGTCAGAGAAGTGGGGAAGCGGAGTGTGTGCCCTCCCACAGCTGACGGCTGTGAAAGTGCTATCCCAGCATCGCCTGTTCTCATTTGCCAGGAGAAGCCAGGAGTCTGTATTTCATCTGCAGTCTTTCAGTTTGGAGAGTCACATTAAAAACACAACAAAACACTTGCAGGTCACACCAAACAGAAACCGATCTGGTATCCAGACTACCAGAGAGAGGCTTCTGTTCTAGGCAGGCAGACCACTGCACTTAGCTTTACATGCCTCTTCACTTTTGTGCAGGCTACAATAGAATTGATCAGGTGCCAGCTTTCTTTAGCCATAACCTAAATCCTCAAAAAGCATAGCAACTCTTAAAAAAAGATTTATACATACTCTGATTTTTTTATTGAATTCAGGGGCCACCTGTTCTCACTAGTACTTTTATTTACAAACCATATATAGGCCAGAGTGTTATGGGGCCACTCTTAAGACTAATGTGACAGATGACCAGCCTTGCCTAACTGTTCAATTTTTTGACTTCTGATTTGTCCCCAGATTCTGGAGGGTGTAGTAAGCCTGTGAGGCTTCCCCTTCAGGCTTGGAAAGAAAGGTACAGGAAGAATCACATGGCAGCCCTGGGGCTGGGGACATGTTTCAGCTTTGCTAGCTCTATGGAGCTGGTGTCATAGAATGTTTGCATGAACGGAATAAATGGACTATCGCTGGGCCTTTTAAATCAGCGCAAAGGTTTCTCTCTGAAACTAACATTTCTTTTCACCTTCAAACTGTTCCCTAGGGATCTACGGCAGGAAGGTGTCCGGCAGGCCCATAGTAGCTGGTTCCGTCTCTCTTTTGTCTACAACCACTGTCTCTTCTTTGCCTGTATCCTGGTGGTGCTATTGGCCATCATCCTGTACCTTCTGCGGCTGCGCCGAATTCACCATCGACAAACTCGAGCCTCAGCTCCATTGAACTTGCTGTGGATTGAAGAGGTGGTGCCCATGATGGGGGTACAGGTGGAGCCATGAGCTGGGCAAGGGCTATGGAAGCTTGAGTACCCCAGAGCTGCTGCTCATCGGATTTCATCACTTTCTTGTACTGACTTCAGATGCTGCTTTGCCTGACCATGTGCATTTTTGGCCTTGGAACTTCTACTTTAATATCTTCTTTAATTCCTTCTCAATCTCCAGGTCCTCTTATCTATGAGAAGCTGTAACTTAGTCTGTGAAGAACTAAATAATGAGAGATTGGTGCTAACAAAGACGACCAACCTTAGTCCAATCGATCTGCTCCTTTATCTGGGAGATCTGGTGTGTTCCCAGGATTTAGACTTTCCTCCCCATGCTAAAGCATGAAATTTGGCATTGGGCACACTAGAAGCCGGGCTGAAACCAAACTTGGGGCATCTGATACAAAGTCGAAGACATCCTAGGAAGTGCAGCATCCCCTTCTTTCTCTGTAACAGAGATATCATTTATGTGGAGACCCACAACCTTTACAAGAGATCCAAGATAATTTGCAATTCAGTGGAACAGTTATGAATTTGCAGGCAACCAAAATAATACAACTTCCTCGCTTCCTTGACAAAGAAGCCATTATGAACATGGTCCAAGGTTCCTGACTTACTGTTGCTTGTGTTAGTATGTGATTTCAAAGGGTTAGAACCCCTTCTAAATGGATGGTCCATTGAAGATTTGACTGAGTCTTATCTGATGTATTGTATGATCAGGATAGAAAATTTTTCTGTGTCTATGTGCCTCAGAAGCTGGGCATTAATTTTTCTTTTTGAGCCTTGTAGGGTGGAGAGACTGTGGTAGGGACTGGAACCCTGGGTTTGGTTCCAGGTCATTGTCCTCTAGGCCTGTTTTTATTTTTTTTATGGACTGATTGGGGCAATATTGGTTAATAAAATTACAAAGGTTTCAGGTGCACATCATCTGTGTATTGTATTGTGTGTTCACCTAGCCTAAGTCTCCAGGCCTGTTTCTATGAGTCTGTATACAGGAAGATTCAGGAGTTTGTTTATTTCACTGCTAAGATCAATATATAGTTTGGGAAGAGATAATATGTGGGTCGTCTTTCAAGGAAAGAACAATTCTAGGATAGTAGGCAAAATAAAATCCAAACTCTTATTTACTAAGTCTTTCTGAGAAATAGAAAATTTTTCAACTAGAATGTCTTAGAAGAAGCAAATTCTAAACTTTGGAATAAATAGATAAATCTGTGAATAAGCCACTTGGAAATTTTCAGAACCTTTGTTAAGAGATTTCTTAGTCCCAAACAGCATCTCCATTAACAAGGAGAGAGGAAAAGCTATAATAATTACATTTCCATCCATGACCCTTTGGGAGCTTTGCTCCACCTTCTCACTTACCCTTTAAACCACACAAGGATTTCCTGTTCATCAACTCCCCCCTTCCCTCACAGAATCTTCTTCATACTTTACCCCTTCCTATGTGTAGCCTGGAGTGTCCTGCCCAGGAACATGCTCCCAGAGTTGAAGGAACTTGCTTTTCTTTTTTTGTCATCTGTGATTTGTAAAATTAGATAAATAGGGTTATGGGCCTTGACTTTAAAGGGGGGGAATAAAATTCTTAAAATATAAGTTTCATATTGGCAGCAGAAGGAGTAAAAGAACTCAAGATCCTCCTAGAAATAAACAGAGGAAAATGAGTATACGGACTGTTGGTTGGTAGGTGAAAATGAACAAATCTTGAATTGTTTCCAAGTTAGTTAATGATGGGTCGAACAAAGTGTCTAAAAGTGCCCTTTGGAAATATTTTTTAAGACTCATCACAGCAATTTCCATTAATTTTAAGACTTCTAAATTGCCTTGATTTTCTTTGACTTATCTTTCTGTCTCTGTGAGTGAGCCTCGCCTTATGAATGCTGCTTACACGTGATATCAAAATATGTTTTTTTGCCCGCCATTGCCTACTTGGGTGACTCTTTTCTCCTCACCTTGATTTCCAAATACTACTCGTATTTTTCTTGTAGATCTAGCCAGTGCTCTAGTCAAAAGCTTCGCAGTTGGCTAACTGTTAAACCTTTCATGTCTCAAAATGAAGTTGTAGCAGACAGCAGGTGGTGATCAGTCCAACTCAAAAGCTCCTGTGAAGTCATTCTTCGTCCTGGTCGTAACAGAACAGCCACCGTTTGTTAAGCACTCGTGTGCCAGACATTCTGTTAAGAGTCTTATGCATCAATCTGATGACCTTGCAGACTGATATTACTGTGTTCTTTTTACAGTTGAGAGATTCAGGATACCTCTACTCATCATTTTTTCCCTGTAATGTTTTTCATATTCTTAATTTGATCAGTCTGATTTTTTGTTTGGTGTGCTATATCCTGAATATTATTTTACTATTATAGGATGTAGGCTCGTCTTTATTACCATGAATAAAATTTCTCAGAGTTCCATGATTTAAAAATATGAAACAATTTTATCACAGATAAAAATTTTATTAAAATCTTTTGATAAAAATTTTATCAAATTTTTACCCCTCAGACAAACTGAATAGATGATCTTAGTATTGGTTCCAGTGCTTCTCCATTACTCCCAATTAATAACTTAAATGAAATCTCATTAGCTAGAAACAGAAGCAATTTATTCCTTGCTGTGGGTGAGGGGCAATTACTTATATACAGTTGTCAGCTTCAGAACTCATTAAACCCTGTACTTGTTGCATTTTGACCAAAAAAAAAAAGTTTCCTCATTCTTCGGTTGCTCAGCACTCATCAGGAGTTCTGAATGAATTCACGATGAATACTGAGGCGCCACTGTATACATTTTCTGTTAATGAAATATTCTTGCTTGTAGAGTCAGTTTGTCTTGCTTTTAACTCTCTTTTAGCCCTCATTTTCTTAAGATTTTAAAATATTTCTATTTGCATTTCTGCCTTTTGAGTGCTTCTCCTGTGACTGTAATCATGTTCTTTGTAAAATTCACATTCCACCGGTTCCTTTGAATCCTCTGAGCCAGACTCTGATAATAGTGACAATGAACCTGAACTGAACTGGTTTAGTATTTTCATTATTACTGAGACAGGTCACAGATGTCAGAACCAGAGTCATTGGCTTTAAGGGTAATGTTTCATTAGTCTTATGATGGCACAGCCCCGCACTTTTCTCTGAATTCTTATTACTAGGATGTAAGGAAAATATGTGTAATATTTATATGGCATTGTATTCACTTAAGTTGCAACTAAATCTAAGCAAAATTATAACCATCTTTCAGTTACTTAGTTCCTTGAATTGATTTTCTTAAGTCAAGGAAAATCAATAGACTTGTATTTGTTCTAATGTCATCTTAAGTATTTTGACTTTCCCTTCTGCAGCCTAAGAGCTTCCTTTAACTCCAAAGACAGTGCTTATTAAAAGGTGGTAGGAATCTGCCACCCATTGCTTAGCTAGTTTTTTTAGACATTACCATTTTCACATCCATATTTACTTTTTTGAAATAAAATAACTTATACTTCTCACAGGTGTTATCTAAATAGATGGCCCTCCATCCCTGTTCTCACAGTTGTGTGTTTGCTTTTTGTCAGGAGTGAGACAAGTGGGTGGTACGATTTAGGGGAAGGAACATCAGACTTTGTGCACAACAGACTTGTGTTCTATTCCTGGTTTTGCCATTAACTAGCTCTGGTGCTCCAGGCAAGTCACTTGCCCTCTTGGGCTCATTTTTCATCTATAAAACGGTGGCTAGACAGACGACCTAAAGTGAGTTCCCTTTTTTAAAACATTTTAAAAGTTGTTATCCTATTACAGTTATCCCAATTTTTCCCCTTTGCCCTCCTCTGCCCACCTTACCCCCACCCCCACAGTCAGTTCCAACCCTGTTGTCCATGTCCATGGGTCATTCATACATGATATTTGCCTAGTCCCTTCCCCTTCTTTACACCATTACCCCCTCCTTCCTGCCCTCTGGTCATTGTCAGTCCGTTCCATGTTTCCATGCATGTGGTTCTATATTGTTCATTTATTTTGTTCGTTAGGTTCCTCTAATAGGTGAGATCATACGGTATTTGTCTTTCACTGACTGGCTTATTTCACTTAGTATAATTGTCTCCAGTTCCATCCATGCTGTCACAAAGGTAGAAATTCCTTCTTTCTTTCTGCTGCATAGTATTCCGTTGTGTAAATGTACCAGTTTTTTGATTCATTCATTTACTGATGGGCACTTAGGCTGTTTCTGGCAGACTTTAATTCTAAAGGGAGACCCATTGGCCTAAGGCACTAAAAGCAGGAGCGAAGCTAGACAAGTGATACGGTTTCAGGAAGATTTTGATCTTTGGTTTAGAAGACCAGGCTGCCCAGGAGCCCAGGGTCATCTCCTACTTTATCCGTGACCCCTGACATTCCCTGATGGGAAGGGAGTTTCCCGTGGCTATCATTAATACGTGTATTTCAGAACATGAGATTTTAAAAGGAACTGTAGAGGTCCCTTGAAATTGGGCCCCAGAGCAGTAGGAATATGTGCTGTTACTACACCAGCAGTAATGACAGCTGCCACAAAATGCTCAGGGACGGAACCTTCCCACAAACTGTATTTTGATAGACTCAACTGTAATAATTAGTTGGCTGCAGCTAATCATGCCCAGTCTTTGTAACTGCTTCTGATACTCATTTGTGATTGCTTTGCTTGTATTTAGGAATAAATATGAAAGACTGCCAGAAACAGTTACCAAGTTTTCACTACATCTATTCTAGCTTCTGTATTTAATACTTCAAAACTTTAGATGTCTTTTAAACAATTTGCTTAATTTTATACAATTTCCTTAAGCACAGCACCCAAGCAGTTCATGTGATGGTTACAGCCCAGACTATTTAAGGTAAATTGCCTACTAGATCTATAATTCTTGGGCAGTTTCCAGACTCCCTTCTAGAAACAGTGCTGTTTCTCTTTTAAACTAAACTTCTTCTGAAGGTGATTCAGAACTGGTATCTAATTTCTCTTTTTGCTGTGGTGTGTGATGCAGCGTCAGCTGGGATCAAGAATTGAGGTAAAAGTAGTGCATGTTTCAAATTCTCCCGTCTTTTCCGCTGGGCTGGTTTCAGAGTCCTGCCACAGGGCCACATGCTCTTTCAGACTGGCGATGTCGCTGGTGTTGCAAAACATATTTGTTAAGAAATGAGGGCTTAAAAATATTGTAATAGACTTCCTTTGTAGTGTTATCCATCCAAGCACTTCCTTTGCTCTAATATTATTTCTCAGGACTTTTATTGGAAGGACAGGAGAAACACTTCTTTTGACCATTTTGTTTCTCTAGAAGTCTGAGCAGTAAGGAGATCCTTTTATTTGTAAAATCAAATTATTACTCGTACTGTAAGGGCGTTCTACTTTTAAAATGAATTCAATCATTGCTTGCCATTTTTTTTAAACCAAAGTTGAAAAACAATTATGAATCACAGGATGTTTACAGCCATGCGTGTATGACTCCGGCAAGCCCGGCGACAGGTCTGCGTCTGAGCCGCTTCTTTGTGAACAGTGCAGCCACTCGCACGCCCCCCGGTGGCCGCCCGACTCCTGCACTCTGCCCCACTCCACTGCGGGCTCGCCCTGGTGCGTCCCAGGCAGCCCCTCTGCAGAGTAACTGCCAGACAGAGTCTGGCCTGTTACAACTACCAGTGCTGAAGGCTCCGTCTTTTTATAGGTTCATACAAGCCTTTCTCTGCAAGGATCCCAAATACTTTGATCTCTGGTATTTCTATTATTATGTTGTGTTTGACATTTTTACACTACAATTCCTCTTTAGTTGATGCCATGAAGTGTATTGTATGCCTTGTCTCCTTCATTGTTTCTGCCTTGAGCTATGGACTGCAGTGTTCAAAGGTATCTTTCCCGTATGATCCACAATAGACATTCCCTTCTTGCTTTACAACACCAAAGGCTGCCCATATTGCATCACTTTTGGGGGTTACTAAGACTGTTAAGTTTTTCTAAAGCTTCAGATTAATAATTTTGATGAACAGGTCTTGTAATTCTCACTGATAAGTACTGTTAAATCATTGCTGAGCAAAATATGCAAGGCATGTCAGAGAAGGAGGCATTCTCCCTTACACCGGCCATGGGTTAATTTGTTACACAGGCCAATGTATAACCCACCGTTCGTTCCAGGACCAGAAGGACTGCTGCAGGTACACTGGTTATCCTAGTACCGTGATCATCACTGTTGTCTTTGCAACAGTAGCTAATCGTTCCCCCTGCCACATGTGCATCATTTGTCACTGTAGGTTAAAGACAGAAATGTTCCGGGTTGATTAAGAAAGGCAGGTGTTTTCATTTCCTTTGATGTTTTAAAAACAGCTGACAGAACTGTTGAGGGACCTTTGAAAATATTATAGGAAATTCACTTAATCTTCTAGGTATGGGATGACATTTTGAAAGCAGTGTCTGCGGCATCAATCTGTAATCATCTTGCACGCATTCTGCACTGTTTGGTGTGTCTGGTGCTGGGAATAATGCAAACAAAAAAAACATTTCAGATAATCTCCGTGCACCAGGAGCTTGTGGATAGGCATAATACAGTTACATTGCTAAATGCAACCCGATCTGTTTTTCCAAACTTATTCATCTTTAATAAAATAAAAATGAAGTAAAACATCTGAAACTTGAACTTATTCATTCATTTGTTGCTACTTTGTTGGCGGGAACTGTAGTATTAGCACATGGTTCTTTGGGTTGGATTGTACTGCCCTCTGCTGACTTCTTAACTAAGGACAACCGTAGTTTGGGGATGAGGAGTAACGGTAAGGGAACCTACCCCAGTAACCAAAGTTCTCCTTAAAAAGAGTGTCTAGAAGAGGTGATATCCCATTAACAGGATCAACAAAGCAGATTTAATGAGATATGGTGGGGATGGAGATTCAGAGGGGATGGGAACAAGTGGTCAAAACTTTCTAAGGTAATTAGGTTATTAGAGCCCAGGTCTGTGGTTCCCAAACTTGTCTGTAATTGGAATCATTTAGGGACCTTAAAAATATGCCTGTTACTGCATCCAGAGATTGTAATTTGATTTGGTCTTGGGTGGCCTGGGCTTTAGGCTTTTTAAAGATTCTAATGTGAGAGAAGTTGGGCTGGCCAGAGCATTAAGTCACAGGATCTGAGATGTTCTCAAAATCAAAGACAAAGTGTCCATTTCTGTTCTGCTAAGAACCACTTAAGAATGGTACAGAGAGTCACTGAAACTCTCAGAATACTGGAGTTGGAAGGAAACTGAGACCATCTAGTGCAGAGACTGTAAGTGGGCAAAACTCAGGTTACCTATGGCTCCCAAATGTGCTCCACCTGCATAATCTAAAGAATTTGAAATTAGTTACCAGCACTTAATTGAGAGCTTTCACACAAAAATCTAGATGTTAGGCTTCTTTAAAACACCAGATCTGACAACCCTGGACATGCAGGGCAGCAACAAGGCAGTAGTTTAACCTGTTAGCTGGGGGCACCTGCTCGACAGTCTGCCACTGTTTCAGCCAGACTGGCCTCAGTGGGCATTTGATTTAGTCCAACTTTCTTTTGCCTTCTACAAAACTAAAAACTAGCCTTCTGCAACTTCCACGCATGGCTCCAGTGTTGCGGCACAAAGGGAGCTCATTGCTTCCGCATGAGAAGGCTTCAACTTGTCAAGGGCAGAAATTTTGTTCTCTCCAAATGTTCTTTTCTCTTCCTGAGAAATACCAGAGTTCCTTCCAGTATTTCCAGTGATATGGGTTCTGGACTCCGCACCATCCTGGCTCCTTCCTCTTGATACATACTTCACGGTCAATGTCCTTAAATTTGGTACCCCTAGTGAAATGCGGCCTATGCATCGAGGTATTCTGACCTCAGTCAGAATACATCAGATTTTATCAATATAAATGTCTACAGCTATGACAGTTACATTGATAAAATCTAAACCGGCACTAATTTTTATTGGAGTCATCATATTGTTGGTTCGTGCTGAGTATGTGGCCAAAATCCCTGTCTTTTTTATGTGAAATCATAACAAAGCTAGGTTTCTCCACCCCAAACTTATATAACCTATTTAATTGAAATGAGGGTGTTATATTTATAATTATTTTTTAATATACTTTATTGACTATGCTATTACAGCTGTCCCATTTCCCCTTCTCCTCCCACTCCCTTGTTGCTACCCCTCCGTGTGATCTCCATTTCTGTGGTTCTGTTCCTGTTCTAGTTGTTTGCTTAGTTTGTTTTTGTTTTCGGTGTGGTTGTTAGTAATTGTAGTTTGCTGTCATTTTACTGTACATGTTTTTTATCTTCTTTTTCTTAGCTAAGTCCCTTTAACATTTCATAAAATAGGGGCTTGGTGATGATTAACTTAATTTCAACTTTATCATGTCACTCTTGGAAGCTGTGAGCTGTGGCTGTCATCCGTCATATTAGCAATGTTAGGTTGCTCCTCGCTCAAATCTCATCTGCTGCCTTCATCCAGACACTGATTTAAAAAACAAGGTTGAACAGGACAGAGAACCCTGTGAAATATCAATAGAGACTGAAATCACACCAATTCATTAGTCAACAATTTGTTCAAATTGTCCATGTCCCCCATTAAGGCCACATTTTTTTTGTCCATGAGGAAACCCTTTCAGGAACTGACTTATGCGATCTATTCCATTCACTGAGCTAGCAACATAACAGCACATACAGGTTAGAGCTTGATGAAGCCGAGTGGGTTACCAGTGGTTACCTCCTTTCCTCTAGGCACCTATCCACCATTCTGCTGCACATAGATATGAAGCTTGTCAAAACCTACCTCATTTATAAAAGTCAGGACACTAGAAGACAGTAGCTATTTCTTGTCGAAGGCTATCTGGTTACTTCCGGGGGTGCCAATCTGTCCCTTTGAACCTTCACCTGGCAGAAGTGAAGACCATAGAGAATTTCTATGTGGGCAGAATGCAGGACTCGGGAGGCTAAGACAGATGGTGCATGGAGACTCCAGGGCTTGCCAACGTCCCAGACCCGAGACAGAAACCTACCAGGAAGCAGCAAATACTTCTTCTACACTAAACCCAATTTCCAACATTAAAAGTAACAGATTTAAAAAGGAACCTTTAGTGTAACCGTAATGACATTCTCGATCCACAGACTGTTTCAAAAAGAGGCAAAAACATTTTTAATGCTTAACAAATTTGGAAACCACTTGATAAGTTAAGGTCATCCCTCTTAGCAAAACCCAAGTTCCTGTGCTCTGTCATGAGCTTTCAAAAGCACAGTTTCAGTCCTATGCAGCTGCTCCTCTTAGAATTATTTTGGGACTCTTCGGAGTTCGTTCATGAGCCAAAGGGCAACGCTGAGCAGAGCCAAGGAGCCCGACTGGTGAGTGGCAGCCAGAGGAGTTGGCACGTACATCAGCAGAGTGCTGATGCCCAGGCCTGCCTGCCACAGAGGAAAGAAAGTAGTAAGCAAAGCAGGAACCGCAAACGCAGAGCTGAAATGAGCACCAACAACCAGATACACCAACCTCTACGTTCCCCCATCAGAACATTAAAAATATATTTTTAATTTTACAAGTATACTTAACAATGAAGTAAATTCAAACAAAATAAAAAAATAAAATTTCCCTTACCTATCCTTTACCCTATCCCAGTTCCCCTCACCAAAGGTACTATTACCAGCTACTACACACTCATACTTTTGTACAAATGTTTTTAGAAAAACAGTTTTGTGCTCTAAAAAAATACGTTGTTCTGTGTCTTGCTTTTTTTCACTTAATACAGGTCTTGAGATCTTATTATTTTAAACTCTTGTAAGTATTCCACAGTATAAATTTACCAAAGTTGTTTATTTAACTACTTAGATTGTTTCCAATTTTTCACGATCGCAGCAATTTTTAAAAGATTTTATTTATTTATTTATTTATTTATTCATTCATTCATTCATTCATTCATTTATTTATTTATTTTAAAAGAGATGGAAAGGGAGGGAGAGAAACATTAATGTCTGGTTGCCTCTTACATGCCCCCAACTGAGGACCTGGCTGCAACACAGGCATGTGCCCTGTCTGGGAATTGAAACAGCGACTCTTCAGTTCCTAGGCCGGCCATTCAATCTGCTGAGCCACACCAGCCAGGGCATCACAGCAATTCTATAATGAATTTCTTTACAGACACAGCTCTTTGTGCATTAGAATACGCCCAGGGCAGGCACTGATAAGTAAGTCGATTTGCTGGGCCAAGGACATATACATTTAACATTTTAAGTGCCCTCTGAAAAATGCCACACAAACTCACGCTCTCACCAAAAATAAAGGAAGGTATCCATTTTCCTATGCCTGTGCCGATACCTGGTTATCTTTTTATTTCTTTATTTTTTCCAATCTGACAGGTACAAGATGGCATGCATTGTTTTAATTCGCTCCTCTGTGATCACAAGTGAAACTAAACAGCTTTTCATATTTATTGGCCATTCATCATTCCTCTTGTGAGAACTGTGATTGATAACTCTTATTTTCTGGTTATTAATCTTCTGGTCCATTTTAAGTATTGAAAATATTTTCTCGTAGCCTGTTACCTTTCCTTTTCAACCTTGTTTTGGGGACACCCTCAGGCCAAAAAGAAGTGGTTTGTACCTGTGTATACGCCACCGCCAGCAGAGTCGCTGCTGCCATCTTGGTCCTCCGAGGAAGGGGGATTCTCCGGGACAGGAAATAGAGCGCTGTAACCGCAGTAACTGAAGTGATCCCCTGCGAGGAGGAAAGTCTCATCAAGCGCCAGGAAGAAGCACTCCACTCTCCTGAGTTCCGCTCACTGCACACGTATCTCCTCCAGCACCCGTGAGTTACCACGAGGCGTTTCCCTGTCCCAGGCAGAGAGCCGCCTGCAGTTCCACCTGACTGCTGCTCCTTGGTTGCATTTCTGCTCCTCTTCTGCTTGCCACTTAAATGTCGGGGTTCCCTGGGATGCCTCCTGCAGTTTCTGTACCTGTCACTTTATATCACAGTTGTACACACTCTCACTGATCTCATCCACCTTCCCCTGCGGGTGTCCCCCCGGCATCGCCCTAAAATTTCAAACCATTCTTTGCACCCTTTCCCCTCTATTCTAATCCTGGATTGTTCAAACTGGGACACCCCCAGCCCGTGAGGGTTATTATTTTCCTGGGCTGTGAGCAGAGGAGGTGATAGTGTTGCCAGCGAGTGCTAAAAAGATTTAAAGCCTCATTTTCATTCTCATCCCTTATAGAACAAGGGTCTGGGACTGACCATAAGGTCTCCATGCCCCTTCTCTGATGTCAAGGGGAGTGTTTTTCTGTCATAGTTGCACATTCACTTCACTTCTTTTCCTCTTCAGAACTGTCCATGACGACAATTTCAACCAGACTTGCTGATTCTAAAATGTGTGGCAGCTGGGGATGACCCACCACTGGGTAACGGGGGCCGCCCCAACATTACCTTGGGACGTCTGGGTCCTCTGGGCTCTGTCTGGATGTCCCCTCACACTCAGCACACCTCAGCCCGATGGCATCCTCCCTCGTCTAGTGCAGCACCCACTCCAGCAGTCCTATTCTTGTTGGTCGTGTTTTAAGCACGCCCAAGAAGAAACTTCGGGATCTCCCTTTATCTTTCCTCATCTTCCTTTCTCCAGCCAGTCCCCTATTCCTTACCTCTCTCAGATTCACCACTCTTCTTAAATCCACTCCCACCTTGAACCCCCTCACCCTCACTTGCGTTACTGAGATGGCAATATTGCTTCTCACTGGTCTCCTTGCTGCTGATCTCTCCCTGCTCCAATTTATCATGCCCAGACGACCAGGCTGGTCTTAACACAACCCACGGCAGGCCCTTAATAAACATCAACTGGAATCAAATAAGAAGTAAGTGTGATGCTCCTGGCGCCTTGGGGCTGTGGTTGAGCTCTGACAGCCATGTGCTCGGCTACCACTGTCTTCTCTGCTCAGCCTTCCACCTGCTACAATGTGTGTGCAGCATTGAGAGGGATGTCCTTTGCTACCTGGTAAAAGCAGATGCAAAATTTTGAGAAACTGGCAGTATCCTGAAAGCTAGAATTTGGCTGGAGGGCATATGGGTAAGTGGGAAAAAAACATCAGAACAGAGAGTTGGTACTCAACTTCCTCTAAATTGAGAAAGAAATCTAGTGCCCATTCTGCCCTCACTGTTGCCATCAGTGCTTCCAACACCCCAACACCTGTGAGAGGCTCCCCATTACTCAGTAGCCAGTAACCACCAGCCAGACTTACCAGAACCCGGTGATCAAACTGCACCATAGTCGGATTCTCAAAAACGTTCCTCAGGATGGGGGAGAAGGTAAAGAGGTCCTCTGGGATCCAGGATTCTCCCATCTTGGGGAAGGAGTTGTAAACAAGCCCAGCATCCAGTCCTGCTACAAAAGCCCCTGAATGCCAAGGTAAGTGGTATTTATTAAGATGAGAAAAAGAGGCCAAATACTGTCCTGACACAGAAAAAGTTCATTGTTCCCGAGTTACATAAAAGGCAGTGCCAGAGAATAACAAATAGAAATATTTACAGTTGGGGTTCTCAAACAGGGGATATACATCACCATCCCCATGAGAACTTAAACGAAAAACAACTATATCCTCACTTGCTCCCACCACAGGATTCTGGCAAGCCTCCCCTGGAGAAGTGAACTGCAAGTTCTGAGAGAAGCATACTAGTTTGGAAAAACTCCCTTAGTGATTCCTCCACCGAGAACTACCGATTTATTCTGGAAGTGTTCTTCCCCCAGACTCTGTGTAATTTATTCCCTGTCTTCCTCGGGTCTTCACTCGAATGTCACCTCATCAAAGAGACCTCCCCAGTGACCCTGTGTAGGCCAGAGCTCCCCACCCCACCTCCACCCCTTACTGTGCTTGCCTTTTCTTCACAGCATTGAATGAACACTATCTGCCATGTTCTCTGTATCATTTCCCTCTTCCCCAAGAGCTCAAAAAGTGTTTGTTGAATGCATAAAAAAGTGAAAAACCTTATAAACCAAATCCTGGATAGACACATAAACGGGGTATTTATGAATAATTATTATTATAATCAAATTATTATTCTGATTCCATTAGTTATGGATGTTTCAGGGAATTCAGGGATGTTTAGATCACATCCCTTATTTTGTAAATGCCATTTATCAAGTCAAGATCCATTTTCTTTCACCATAAAAAGGGAGCAGTGAGGGCTGCGTAGGTCACTGGTTTGATGGTTTTATTTAAAAACAACTTTAACTGATTCTAGAGAGAGGGGAAGGAAGGAAGGGAGGGGGAGAAACTTGGTGTGAGAGAGAAGCCCTGACCGGTTGCCTCTCGCACACCCCCCAACTGCGGAGCGGACCTGCAGCTGGGGCGACGTGCCCGACCGGCAACCAAACCTGCAACCTTTCCATCTGTGGGCGCTGCCCGACCAACCAAGCCTCACAAGCCGGGGCTGATGGTTATATTTTAGAGTGCTGTCCGGCCCTGACCGGTGTTGGCTGGGCGTCATTCTGCAAAGTGAAGGTCACTAGTTCGATTCCCAGTCAGGGCACATGCCTGGGTTTCACGTCTAGTTCCAGGTTGGGACACGTGTGAGAGGTAATTAATCAAATAAATAACTAAAGTTCTGCTTGAGAAGTTTCTGGGATGATAAAAATGTTCTGTATCTGCCATTCAATATAATAGGTGCTGGCCACATGTGGCTACTGAGCCCTTCAAATGTGGCTAGCATGACCGAGAAACCAAATGTTAAATTTTATTTCATTTTAAATACTTTAAGTTTAAATAAATCACATGCGACTAGTGATTATTGTACTGGATAGCAGAGTTTCAGAATAAGAGAGGTAGAGGTATGATTTAAAGAATGAGAAAGACCTGTGTTGGTGTCTTTGCCCCAAAGAACTCCCTGCACTGGACCGTTTTTGAAGGAAGGCCTTTTGTCTGACCCATCCTGGTATATGTAATAACAATGATGCCTACATGATAATAACAGCCAACACTTACACAGCTTTTGCTACACACCAAGCACTACTGTAAGCACTTGATATATTCTACTCATACTATTATCATGATCCCTGCTTTACAGAAGAGGTCACCGAGGCCCAAAGAGGTCCCCTAGCACGTCCAAGGTCATAGAGTTCACAGGTGGTAAATCCAGGATGTGAGCCTAGACGGTTTGGATCCAGGTAGACGCTCAATATTTCTGTTCAACTGACCGGAGAGCAGGACTGGCGGGAGGGAGGAAGGAACGGTGAAGATGATGGGTGTGAGGCAGGCAGGTGTGAAAGGGAAATAGGAAGATACAGGAAGAAAGGGAAAAAGCATTAGGCGAGAGATCTTACCTGAGAGTGAAATAAAAACGGGCCATCTTTAGGAGTCCTACCTGAGAGAGCTGTAAGGAACACTAGGCCTGTCGTTCCGTGAGCAAATCGTCTCAACCACAGGAGTTGACGGGTTTCAGGCAACTAAAGAAGAAAATCGCTCAGGTTAACTGCACTTCAGAAGCTATCTCCAAGGCTAAATCTAAGACACAATTTGAGGTCAGATCTTGTCTGACCCCAAAGCTAGGTTAGGTATGCCCAGCGCTATTCTGTTCTGACGAAGGCATCACAGTTTATTAAATTATACAGTTACTGTGTGTCTCCACTGCTATCCTGTAAGCATTGTGAAGACAGGAACTGCCATCTGTACAGCAGTGGTACCAGCCCAGGGCTTGGCCTTTGCTGTGTCCGGGGGAAAATGCTTCACCATGGTGGAAATGGTGTGGCCTAAGATACAGGACTGGACTTTCATCTCGTGTGAGACATTCAGCGCTTGACAAATAGAGTCAGGATCGAAACTACATAAAATGCATAATGTGGAGATTCTTGCATTTAGCGTTTTTGGTAAAGTCAAAATTTGCTTTTATTTTTACTATAGCCCACTTCTGATACTAATCAATGAATCAACAAATATTTATTAAGAACTTTATGAACAGATAACTGTAAAGATGCAAAAATGCTTTGCAATCTCGCACGTGAAGAACTGGGTGCCGTCACCCAGAGTACGCCGCACGCACGTCAGTGCTGCCAAACAGAACTTTCTGCGCTGCCCAGTGTGCGGGTAATGAGGTCTCACAGCAGGGCGAGGGCAACTGAAAACTAAGTAAGAAGTTAATTTCATTTACAGCTGAAGTAAACAAGTTTTTACGTTAATTTTACTTAATATTAATTAATTAAAATTTAAATAGCCATGTGTAGCTAGTGTGCTACTGCGTTGGGCAGCACAGTCCACTACGTTTGATGATCATCTCAAACCTTTTCTGTAGTTAGTGGAATATAAACACATTTTAAAAAGACAAAAACAATGAACTGATCAGTAAAAACTCACCGATAACTTCTAAGATTACCATTCCAGTGGAGGGGGATGTGTGTGTGCATGTGTGTAGGGTGGGTGGGGAAGTCGGATGACAAGAAGTGTAGAGGAGGAATGATGTGTCAGGGTGAACATCTACAGATACGGGCAATTCACTTCAGAATCTCGACTCTGAAGGTCAGGAGAACTGTTCAGATGCGGACTTGTCTACCACACCAACATTTCAACTCCATCTGGCTGCCCTGTGGGGCGACTGTCAAGTCAACACCTCCTGTCCTTACCGGGATCCAGGCCCCTGGCTCCAAGTACCTATTGGATGATTCTACTTAGAAGTCCTATTATCAGCCCTGGCTGGTATAGCTCAGTGGATTGAGTGCTGGCCTGTGAACCAAAAGGTTGTTGGTTCAGTTCCCAGTCAGGGTACGTGCCTGGGTTGCAGGCCAGGTCCCCAGTAGGAGGCATGCAGGAGGCAACCACACACTGATGTTTCTCTCTCCTTCCCTTCCCCTCTCTAAAATAAATAAGTAAAATCTTTTATTAAAAATTCTTATTATCATATCAAAAACCACTCCGCGAACAGGTTATTCAGGCCTAACATGACATCAATATCTAAAATATTATTAAGAAAAAAACTAGAAAAACTTTAATCAGCCTCCTGAGGAAATACTCTCAGGCAAGATCGCTCAGGTTTACTTATCGTTCGACTCGATGAACGGGAGGTCCCCATCTGCAGAACCAACCAGCCAACCAGCACGGCCCCTGTGCACCACCACAGGGCCAGAAATCACTCTCGCTCGGCCTTCCTCACCTCGCCATCCACCTTCCCTCTGGGAGTCAGAACTAGAGTTGGGATACCTCTTGTTGTTTGTATACTTTCCTACTTTTTCTAAAATTCATGTTTTCACCTTTCCCAACAGGCAATGCCGACAAAATACTTGGCTCCTATACTATTTCTCCTCTGAGTGAATTGTTCCAGCTCAAAAGAGTCACTGCACATTTTACTCTGCAGTCCCAAAGCTATCCAGTCCCGGAGTTCGATGTTCCTCTAAACTTTAGTTGGATCTAGTTTCTGGTAAATTGGCAGATGTCACTAAGGGAGTGTGTGCATTCTGACCTAACCTATTAGAACCAGAATTCCTGTTTCTCTGGCCTCATCAGCCTCTGTGCAGATGTGGTAAGGACAGAGACTGGCTTTTACCTTGTGCTGAGGCAGCAGCAGTGAGAGCGAGGTCCACAAGCTGGCACAGTAAAGAACAAGGGCTGATCCCAGGTGGGCAGCGAGGCGGTACTGACTGACCCGAGGGATGTCGTGAGAATCTGGTTTTTCTTCTAATCCACTTTTCACCATATACCATCCCAACAGACCCTAGAACGAAAAAGATAAGAGGCAAATAAAACAAGGTTGAAACTGTCTGCTGAACTTTATTCTCTGAGAATGTGAGCTATCAATCACCAGACATACTCTCTGCCTGACCCCTCCTTCCCGTAGCCTCCGATGTCCTCAGTTTCCCAGAATCACGGCCTGTCCACATTTCCACACACGGCACCATAAACATTTAACCACTGATGAGAGTAACATTTACTGAAATGAGTCAAATAAAGTATACAAAAGTTCGTCTGTGGGCAAAACCTTACCTATCCTTTATCTGATTTAATATTATGTAAACCTGTGAAATGTAAGAGAGCTGTTTCTATAAAAACCAGACTGAATGTTTTGGAAAGCTTGAGAAAGCTTAAAAACAGCCACTGTCAAGTCAGATGGAAACAGAAAATAATGACAGTTTTATGGGGGAAGGCCATTAAAATCTGTAAGGCTCTGCAGTCAGATGCTTTCCAAGTATCTAAGTTCTCACCCCTCTGTAAGGAAAATAATGATAGTTTATGGGGGTGCAAGAGACCTGAGGTTGAGCAGCAACCAGAGGACTGAAGAACAGGCCTATCTCTTCATTAAAAAAAAAAGATAAAAGTACATGTTTAAAACTTTAAGGTATGTATTAGGATTCTATGAATCCCTGCTTTTACCAACTTTTCCAAGTAAGCCAAACAAATGTCAGTTCCAATCATATCAGGCGAGCTATGGACCTTTCGTCCCCCACCCTGCCGATCCAATCCAAGCCTATCCTGTCAAAAGGAGGGATCTCTCCCACCTGCTCCTCTTCTTTTTATTTTTTAATCCTCACCTGAGGACAGTTGTTTCATTGCTTTCAGAGAGAGAGAGAGAAGAAAACATCAACGTAAGAGAGAAGCATGGATTTGCTGCCTCCCAGATGAAACCTGCCACCTAGGTATGTGCCCCGACCAGGAATCAAACCCACAACCTTTCAGGTACGGGATGACTCTCCAAGCAACTGAGCCACACTGGCCAGGGCTTGAATTTTTAAAAAAAAAATTTCTTGATTGATTTTGGAGAGGCATAGGAAGGGAGAGGTAGGGAAGGGGAAGAGAGAGAAAGAGAGACTTCAATTTGTTATTCCACTTATTTATGCATTCATTGGTTGCTTTTTGTTTGTGCCCCAACTGGGAACTGAACCCACAACCTTCATATAGGGGGACAACTCCCCAACGAGCTGAGCTACCTTGGCCAGGGCTCTACCTCTTCTAAATATATGCTCCTCAGGAAACTTTTCTGGGCATTCCCCCCTTCATGACTGTCCTGGAAGTTCTAACCATCTTGACTTCATCTGCACAGGACACTGGAAGATGAAAGCGTACACAGTCCGATCTACCGGCCCCGACTCTCTTCCTTCCGCACCCTCTCTGCCATCTTCAATTCTCTGCCTCCCTGGTGCTCTGTCTTTAATGGGATTCTATTTTCCACTCTAAAACAAACTTTCATTTTGTTTTACCCCCGCCCCCAATTTCTATCAGACTTTTACTAATGTCTACTTCCTTATTATCTGTTTCTATTGCCTCTATTACATCTCTTCCATCTCCCTTCATAGTTCCTTCTATCTGGTTCATCGTCTCCCCACTTCTAGGTTAAATTTACCACCTCATTTCCTCCTCATTGAATTTTGATTCTTCTTTGATGCTCTGATTCTCTTCCCTTATGGTTTGTACACTTCGACCCAAATACTCACATGTCTTCTCTAATATTCCTTTTCTTGGCTCTCAGCCTTACCTAACTCCTTAACTGAGAGTCATTCAATGCTCTTCTCCTTAGTAGGAGTTCAACTTATGTGATTTGAACAACCATTTTATACAGTACTTGGATATCTCTCAGCTGTATCTGTATTTTAAGATCCCTCAAGCCAGAAACTATTTCTCTCTTTTGGAATTTTCCCACTTGCTTCTGTAGCCATTCTACCATAGGATCCCAGGCCCACGCAGAGCAGTCGAGTTAGAAAAAGGGAGCACATGAGAACCCAGGAGGAGAGCCATGGTGGGGAGAACTCTAATTCTTGGGACACAAAAGTATATTTACTGAGTGCTTACTGCTTCCAGGCACTAACCTAAGTACTTTACATGCATGACCTCACGTAATATTCATGCAAGCTAAGCAGCAGGCACTACTATTATCTCTGTTTACAGGTAAGGAAAGCAGAGTCTACTTAGGTTAGAACTTGCCCTACTAAGTGGTAGAGCTGGGCCTTGAAGCCAGGCCATGACACTAAAATGCACATTCTCCCCTACTGTTATAAAATCACTTCCTTAAAAACAATACCAACTAAGAAACTCTTGGGAGCATCTCTGGTTCCCGGACTTGAATAAATCTCACCTGGAAGCACACTAACCCACAGAGGGCAAGAACACGTCCTTTCATGCCTCGGCTGAGCCAGCCCTTTCTCCAAAAGTAGGCGGCAGGCAGGATGTATGCGAGGCCTACAAGGCGACCCCACATGCGGTGTGAGTACTCCATGTACCAGATGAACTTGAATTCTGCCAGTGTCATATCATGATTCAATCTAGGTAGAGAGTCAAAAAATAAGAAAGAGGAAAATCCACCTGATTTTTATTTCTCAATGGAATACAGGGACATCCTGAGTCTAGAAGCTTGACAGGTCTGCCCTCTTCCTCATCAGTGACCTTAGGATCGCTTTGGATTGGAGGTTTAGAGTAGGAAGCTCACTAAACATAATTGAGGCAAATATCAAGAAATGATGGGATCTAATCATTCTGACATGTTTAAATAAGCAAAAGACTGAGTGGACCTTGTGGGATGTTGGCCTGATTTTCTATAATACTTACATTTTAAATTCTGGAAATTGCTGGTATTTTTGGAATTCTGCTTCCCACTCCTCTTGGCTTGTCGGTGGCTTCATCTCCTTTATTAAATGCCAATCTACCATCGAGAGGCCAGACTCTGTCAGCCTAAGGGAAGGGAAGAAATTTGAGTGAGAGAGGCAATGAGTGTGTGTGTGCATGCAATGCTGGATCATTCATAAATGGTTTACAGCAACAAGTGTATCTAAACATCGCACCTCTAAAGGCAAACACACCATGTCACTGTTTCCTCCCTGACCTGTTCCTCTTCTCTCACTGCTTAGAATTTTGACAGGAACAGCAAAATCAACCCTTAGACTGAAGAAGTTTACCCTAAATGCATACACAACATTATATAAGGAAAAGATATTTGATATAGGTATAAAACATTTTAGGTTCTTGAATGAATTTAAAGACAGTAAAACTCAAATGTGTCAGTTTCCCGTAACAGCCTAGGTACAGTATTTTGAAATAAGGGCACAAGAAATGTGGGGAGAATCTGAGAATATGTACTTTATTAAAACTGAAAGTGTTTCCATGAAAACAAGTTAGGATTCCTCCAGGAAAAGGTTTCTTTTTGGCCTGAGTCAGGAAATGTACAAGAGCCTGGAATATGTGACCATCCAGAAAGCAAGGAATCCAAAGGTTACTAGGGTCCTGTCCAGAACAACTCTGGAGCCGATTGGAGGTTTCCACTGACTGAAAATGGGACAATTTGAGCAAAACACCAAGCATGATGGACTGAAACACCCAAGTACGTTTAAACCCATGAGCACATGATACTTAAACACTCAGGCACTTTACTGGTTACCTTTGGAGGATGCTTGGGAACCAATTTATTATTTTGAGAATTGGTAAATAAAGGGAAAGAATCAAGTACTTACCCTGCCTTTCTTTTATTCACTGTACCTTAGGATAACCTAATTATTGATGAGGAAGCCTTTCTCTTTAGAGCTGAGCTAACAGAATGTTACAAATTTGCAACTCTAATGAAATAATGAATGTAGGCAATAATCATGAATGGTGGTTGACATCTGTAACAGACATCAGACACCTATAAACGTTATAGTCACCTATGAAGTATTCTGTGCCCTCCTCCCCCTCCACCCCAACAGGAATCTGATCAAGCAATAACCCATTTACAGAAAATACAGGGGACAGTGGCACTTGAACAGCACCACAGAATGCAATCGGGAAATCCAGACTGGGAAATTCTGCAGGACAAACGATTTGGGTTTCTTCAACAAACCCCCCCTGCAAATATGGGGGTGGGAGGAGGTTTAAGAGACCTGAGAGGCGTATGAACTGTGATATATGGAACTTATCTGGATTTACTTCAAAGTAACTATACAACAAATGTTGAGACAAATTTGAACTCTGATTGTAGGGGAATATACACAAAGCGTGTACAGCTAATAGTTAAGATTTAAATCAGTATTTGTGAAGGGCTCCTACTAAAAAAGCTGGAAACTGTTCTATGTCAGGCAAACCTCCAGACACATTCCCTCTCTGGGCCTCAGTTTCTGCGTCTGAGAGAGCCAGACTACATGATTCCTGGGGCCCCTTCCCCCCTTGGTCATACTTTGCCTCTACTGATGACCCAAACACTATGAGCAAATTACTCACCTAGTTACTCCACCGAGAATAACTGCTCCAGCCACTGTTCCACTGCAGACCAGGAGCCATCGGCCCACGACCCGCTCAGCAGCCTTGGAGGGAAGGGACACTGCACCCCTTCCAGACTGTAAAGCTACTTCAGAGATGGTGCTGTACTGCCCTGGCCTCAAGGGGCGCCTGATCCCATAGCTGCAACCACACTAAGGATCAAGACAGATCAATTACAACTGAAGAAAGAGGATAAGACGTCACTCCACTGTTACTCACATTGTCCCTCTGGAGTCTGAGTGCCCTGTATGGCAACATCTCCTGCCCCAGCAAGTCTTCTCTTCATTGGATCACTGCATCTACCTTCCAACTAGTTTTCCTGCCCCTAGTCTTGGCTGCAACCCAATCCATTCCCACACGACAAGAACCTTCTGGTCTCCGCCTACTTCCCCAAACTTAACTCCACACCTACATATGGGTCATTTTCTTCTTCTGTGGGTCTTCAACCAAGATTTCTCTCTGGTTGGGACATTAGCTGTCCTCTGATGGAAAACACAGGCGTACCTCATTTTATTGTGCTTCAATTATTCTGCTTTGTAAATACTGCATGTTTGTTTATTTGTTTGTTTAATTGAAGGTGTATGGCAACCCTGCACTGAGCACACTGAAAACCTCCTGGAAAAGATTCACCTTTCTAGATGCCATCAACATTCCCGATTCCTGGGAAGAGGTGAAGATATCAACATTAAACAGGAATTTGGAAGAAGCTGACTCCAACCCCCATGGATGACATGGAGGGACTTAAGCCTTTAGTGAAAGAAAGAGCTACAGACATGGCAGCAATATGAGAATATGACTAAGTTACCATAACCTCATGATAAAACTTTACAGATGAGGAGTTGCTTCTCATGGATGAGTAAAGAAAGTGGTTTCTTGAGGTGGAATCTACTGCTGAAGATACTGTGAAGAGTGTAACAAAGTCTGGCTGATGTAGCTCAGCGGATTGAGCACAGGCCTAGCAAACAAAGAGTTACTGGTTCAATTCCCAATCAGAGCACATGCCTGGGTTGTGGGCCAGGTCCTCAGTAGGAGGCAAGCAAGAGGCAACCACACACTGATGTTTCTCTCCCTTTCTCCTTCCCTTCCCTTCTCTCTAAAAATAAATAAAATCTTTTTTTTAAAAAAAAGATTATAACAAAGGATTTAGAGTATTATGCAAACTTAGTTGGAAAAGCAGTGGCAGAGTTTGGTGGACTGGCTCCAATTTTGAAAGAAGTTCCGCTGTGGGCAAAATGCTATCAAACAGCATGCTACAGAGAAATCTTTCTCATGAAAGAAAGTCAATCAATGGAATGAATTTCACTGTTATCTCATTTTAAATAATTGCTGTAGCCACCTCAGCCTCCAGTAACCACCACCCTGATAGTCAGCAGCCATCAATAAATACCAAGGCAAAACTCTCCATCAGCAAAAAGATTATGACTCACTGAAGGCTCAGATGATGGTCACCGTTATTTTTAAGCAATAAAGTATTTTTAAGTTAAGGTATGTACATTGTTTTTTGTTGTTTTTTTTTAGATATAATGCTGTTGCACACTTAATTCATGCAACTTGCTTTTTTGCAATACTCGCTTTATTGAAGCACTCTGGAACCCGACCTGCAATATCTTCGAGATATGCCTGTAGTACCTACTTGCAGACCTCAGCTTAGATGTCACCTCCTCTGGGAAGTGTTCCCAGACTATTCTAGGTGTGCAACAGGCCACTTTCAGTACACTTTACCTCCCCTAACAATCCTTAATATACTTCTGGTTCCTCTCTATCTCCCACTCAACTATGAGCTGTGGGACAAGGGTGTCTGGTCAGCTGGGTTCTTTCCCTCCTGCTTCATTTGTTTCAAACACAGTTCCCTTACATAACAACAGCTTAACAAAGATTTAATAAATGAATTATAAATAAATAAACTGTGGCTTCCTCCAGGGCAGTAACCTTTTGGTGCTTACCTTTCGCTTCCCAGTTTCTAACACATAATAATCATTCAATACAGTTATTCGTTGAACGGATACACGCCCTCTTTTCATTCAATCCCTTTAGGGATTCAGAAGACCCGTTTTGGTTTCCTGCTTCTAATTAAGTAATTTTAGACAACTTAAGCTCATTTTCCTTCTTTGTAGAAGGGGGTTATAATAATTAATCTGACTTCCTGGGGACTTCTGGTGAAAAATAACTATTTGGGTAAGACTTACTGAGCTTTTACTTTGTGCTAAGTGCATGATGTAGATTACATTTAATCCTTCCAGCAAGCTTACGAACTAAGTATTGCAGTTATCCCCATTTTTACAAATGGGAAATTGAGGCACAGAAAGGTTAGCCAACTTGGCTAACACCACACAGCTAGTCACTGACAGATCCAGGTCAGGAGTCAGAAGCTCTGGAAACCAGAAAATGCGTTTTGAATTCTAAGGAACTACGGAATCGTGAAAATGGGTTATCTATCTATTAGCTTTCTCCAGGCTCTTTTCCCCACGCCCGCTTCCGCGACACAGAGTCCGCTGCGACGCGGTACCTGCGTTCTAGGCGCTGCCCTCGGAACCAGGAGTCGGAGGCATGGACTCCCCATCAAGGCCTTCAAGGGCGGAAACAGTAATCGCTGCATATTGAGCACAGCGAACAACCGCCAACTCCAAACCCCAGCAATCCCTACAGACTCCTTTTCTTGCTGCAGAAAGAAGCACTTCCGAGTCAAAGAGCAAGCCCCTCCTTCTCAGACGTGCGTGACTGCGCCTGCGCTGGCGACTGGGGTGTCTCCTGGGCCCCAGCAGGGCGTGCGGAGCAGTGAGAGCGAGCTTTTCTGGTCGCGGAACCCGGACTCTGAGTGGAAACCGAAGACGCGCGTGGGAGGAGCGCCTGGAAGATGAAGAGGCAGGGGTCCTTCTCGGAGCGGAAACTGGCGGGGACACCGTCTGGGAATGCCGGTGCGGAAAAGGGAGAGGAGGGGACCGTCAACCCACCTGCTCCCACGGGCGGGCAGGCGTGGGTTCTGACCCTTGGATTAATCGCGATTTCCCTAAGAGTTCCCTGCGCGACACGTTCTCTCATTCCGGCTTTAAACGCGTAGGAACCGGTGGCCTGAGCAGGGGCTTGTTGCGAGAGTGGCCCTGCACTGGAGCCGTATGTGTGGGCTTGAATCCCGGCGCCAGCGCGTTATCATCGTGCCGCCGTGACCAAGTTGGTTAACCTCTCTTAGCCTCACGTTTCCCATCGCCACACGGGGATCCCTGTCCTCTCTTCACGGCATCACTGTGATAGTTAAACGTCGAGGAGCACCCTGCATAACCTGTGGTGACCGCTCAGTAACCTGTAGCTGCAACAGCAGGGGGGATTGTTCCCAAAGACAGCTACCAAGTGGCAAAGCTTGTGGCTGCCACCAAGTCCCGAGTTCTTCCGTCACGCCGGGGTAGGATGGCGTGGCAGGTGCTAGGGATTTGGCAGATCCCTCCTCCGTGAACCAGTGGTCCTCAAACTTTGTGATTTGAGGAGCCCTTTACACTCCTAAAAATTGAGAACCTCAAAGACCTCTTGTTTATATAGGTTAAATCTATTGATGACTATTAGAAATTAAAACAAATTTTAAAAATATTTATTAACCAGAAGGTGACCATAATAAACCTATTACATATTAACGCAAGAAACATTTTTTATGAAAAATATTTTTCTAAACAAAATAGTTTAGTGCCAATGTTTTGTATTTTTGTAGCTCTTTACTATCTGGCGTAATTGAATTCTCATACCTGTTTTCTTATACCTGCTTCTACGTTCAATCTGACATATCAGGTGGCCTATGCAAAACTCCACTTGTTTTGAAATAATGACAGTGAAAAAGGAAAATACAGTTTAATGTCATCATGAAAATTTTCACTGCCCAGACTGAAAAGGATTTTAGACAATCCTAAGATTTCTAAGGTCCCCAGAGCTAACTGACCTACCACACTTCAAGAACTGCAGCTCCAAAGAAGTATCTTTGTCTTGGTTTCCTACAAATAACTTCTTTTCTTAGGACAATTGCTTTGTGCTGCCTTCTCTCCTAGTCTTGTGTGTGCATCCCCACTCTGCTGTCCCATGTGCTTTCTTGCTTGAGAGGCAAATGACCCCCCTGCAGCAGTGTTCAATTGGATTGGCCTGACGGCTGGTGTGGGTGGCTGTCAGGAAGCTCGTGGAGTTAATGCAGCACTGTTGGTTGAGAGCATAGGGCGGCACTTAACTCTTTCACAGTTTGAGGCTGATAATCTTCTCTTAAATAAATGAGGCAGTGGCACTTGACATTAGTAGGTGATAGATTTTTGTTTTTCAAATTAAAATTGCTTTTTAAAAAATAATAAAAGCAGTATTGGGTAGAAAAAAATCAAGCAATGTAGGAAAGTAAAGAAGAGAATAAAGACATTCCAAATCCCAGCACCTAGTTGTACATCATTATGAGTATGTGGTAACCATTATTTGGGTATTATTACATTAAGTATGCATTCAAAAATCTTTTTTAAGCCCTGGCTGCCATGGCTCAGTGGATTGGTGCCAGCCTGCGAACCGAGAGGTCGCTGTTTGGATTCCCTGTCAGGGCACATGCCTGGGTTGCGGGCCAGGTTCCCCCTTGGGACCATGAGAGAGGCAACCAACTGATGTTTCTCTCCCTGTCTTTCTCCCTCCCTCCCACTCTCTCTGAAAATAAATAAATAAAATCCTTTAAACATTTTTGTAATTTGTAATTATTGAATTTGTAATTATTCAGTCTTTAATAAATCTTTGCCTGGCTATTGCGTACCATGGTAGACACTGTGCTTTGCTGTGAGAAAGATCTCACATAAAAGCGTTGAGAACTTTAAAACAAGTTACAGTGATCAGACACTTATCTATAGAGATAAAAATAATAGCTAGGAAATAATTAGTATTTTGAATAGATACAAGTAGTGTTTTAAAGAAGAACATATCACGTATAAAGCGTTATGAGTTCAAAAAAGGGAGATACAATTTCCTACTTTGGAAGAGGAAGGGAGGAAATACTATATGACTTAACATGAATCTTGGAGGAGTTTAGCAGTCAAAGATGAAGCTGGAAGGACTTTGTGGGTTGAAGAGGTGGCATCAGCAAGAACGGATGGGGATTAGGGAGAGTGAGGCACACAGAAAAAGACTGTAGTTAATGAAACTAACACTTTTTGCACATTTAGTGGGTAGGATCCAGTTTCCATGAATTATCTCTATGCTTACTGCTCTGAGGTAGATACTAAAACCCACTCTTTTATAGGAAATTTAGGCTAAATAATTTGTCTAGAATCAAACAAGTATGTGGTTAAGGGCCAGGATTTGAAGTCCCTCCCAGCTCTCATACATTCCTTGTAACGAAGTTTAAACGCAGTCTGCAAGGCATTCATTGAGAAGCATTGAAAGAATCATGACCTGGAGTGTGATGATGAGGTCTGTGTTTTAGGAAGGTTAGCTTGGCATTCAGTGTATATTTTTCTCAGTGTAATTTCTTATACATACGTCTGTGTTCTGATTTCATAGTCCACAGACGTAGTTTTATAGTTAATGTGTTATTGCATTCACGGGCGCTAGTGTACTTACCTGCTTTCTTATTCTTGCACATTTGGATTTTTGCAGCAAAATATAAAATGTTCACGATAGATTATTCTGGATGAATAGTCCTACTATGGTATTGCATTGTTTTTCATGTATTTTAGGAACAGCAAATGGATTTCTCATGGAAGTGTGTGTTGATTCAGTGGAGTCAGCTATAAATGCAGAAAGAGGAGGTAAGAGAAATTAGAGAATGAATGACAGTTTGTAGTCCTTTTAAGAGTCTGAAAATGAATCCTGTGAACTGATCTTGCAAGCCTTCGTGATTTGGAAGGATCCTAGTAATCCTGTTGAAAACAACCAACCAACTAGAAAACCTTCCTAAAAATTATGATCTTCCAGTCTTACTCCCTTAGTAGGTCACATTTTGAGTCAGTGTCCACAATAGTGCTTACTCTCCAACTTCATATTTTTATTGAACTTAGCATAGATTTAATGTTTTTTCAAACCATAGACTTAAAAGATGATCTTGTAGATTTTTATTATTAGCACTTCTATCTTACCTTTTTTTAAACATTATTTTTATGTCAAGGTTATTTTTGCACTGTGAACCTGCTGTAATAGGAACCTGCTGTAATAAAAATTCCCATCACCTCAGGGTCAGAAAATTTTTTAAAAATTTTATTATGGAAAAATTCAAACATATACAAAAATAGAATAGTATAATGAATCCCTATGCACCCATTACTTATTTTCACTCATTTTCAGTACATGGCCAATCTTTCATCTATATTGGGGGTATCAGCAAACTTTTTTGTAAGGAGCAACATAATATACAATATATTTTCAGCTTTCCTGGCCACATTTGGTCTTTGTTGCATCTTCGTTTTTTTTTAAATAATCCTTTGAAAATGTAAATGCCATTCTTAGTTTGGCAATAAAAAACAGTGAAGTACTGATACATGCTCCATCATAGATGAATTTTGAAAGATTATTTTAAGTGGGTCAAAGACAGTAAAAAGTATATATTGTATGATTCCACTTATATGAAGTGTCCAGAACAGGCAAATTTATGGAGACAGAAAATAGATTAGTAGTTGCCTAGGGCTTGGGAACATGGGGACGGGTAAGTGACTGCCTGAAGGATACCAGATCTTCTAGGGGGTTGATGAAAATGTTCTAAAATTGATCATGGAGATGGTTGGAGAACTCTGTGAGTATATTGAAAATCATTGAAGTAAACATTTTTAATGGGTGCATTTTATGCTATGTGAATTATACATGTTAATTTTTTTTCTTCATTTAAAAACATTTTTTTGTGCTGAGCAATGCTTTTTGCTTCTTCAATCACAGGTGCCGGTCGGATTGAATTATGTTCAGGTTTATTGGAAGGAGGGACCACACCCAGCATGGGTAAACAACCAATTTTTGGATTGCCAAGAGACAGTTGATCATCCATTTCATTAGAATCCTTTACTGATGTTACTACCTTGTTAACTATGCTATGGATATTGTATCAGAAATGCTTATGGTTGTAAATAAGCTTGTCTACTTCATATCAAGTTGATATGTGATCAAGTTGATTTTTTTTCCTTATCAAAAAGTTGAGAGATAGGTACTTGCTCTTAATATTGGTTCAGTTGCTGTGCAGTAATTTATCTTTCCATTTTGGCATCCTCAGTTTATTGACTTTCGTCTTCATTTCTCCCCTCTGGTCTTCATGTTGTTGTCTTTTATGTGTTACTTCTACGTATGTTAAAAACTCCACACTGTGTTGTTTGTTGTTATTTCCACTGAGGCATTTTATTTCCACGTATGTATTACATCCCCAGAAAAGGAATCCCAGGACTTTCCCTCCCGTGTGTTTTGGTCTTGCTTCTTCTTGCTCCATAATGCTCGCTGATGTCAGTGCAGTGGAACCAAACTGACAGGCCGGGAGCGGGTCAGTCTGCCACTTTCTTCGTCTTCGAGCTGCACATCAAATCTGAGGCTGACCACTCCGCACTTGTTTAACTTGCCCCTGAGGTTCACAACCATTTTCACAGCTGTGGTTTTTGTTTCAAGAGTCTGAGATAATAAGAGAACGATCACATTTATGCATACATAATTACCATTTCTGGTGTTCTTAATTCCTTTGCATAGATCTATAGCTCTGTCTGGTTTTATTTTCCTTCTGCCTGAAGTAACTCTTCTATCATTTTTTTATAATACAAGTGTGCTGGGGATGAATTCAGTTTTTGAATGTCTGAAAACATCTTTTCTTATTTTTTAAAACATATTTTTGCTGAGAGTAGAGTTCTAGGTTGACAGTTTTTTTCTCTCAGTACTTTAAAGATGCTTCTTCACTCTCTTCTTGCTCGTACTGTCTCTGATAAGAAATCTGCTGTCCATGCCTTCGTACTTATCTGTGTCATGTGTCACTTTTCTCTGGTTTCTTTTAAGGTTTTTTGGCTGTTCTTTATTTTTTGGCTTGTTCTTTATTTTGGTATGGTGTACCTGAGTGTAGTTTTCTTCGTGTTTTTTAGACTGTGCATTTATACTTTTTACCACATTTGGAAAATTTCCAGCATTCGATATCCTCTTCTCCCTCCTTCAGGGACTTCAATTGAAGTTACTCAGTTATGATAATCCACTTATTCTTATAATCGAATATTTGATTATATTCGTTCTACAGTTCACTGATGAACCACTCTTTTTTGTTGTTTCCTTTTCTTTGTGTTTCATTTTGCACAGATCCTATTGCTTTGATTTCAAGTTTACTAATCTTTTCTCTGCAGTGTGTGATTGTTGTTAATCCCACCTCATGTGTTTTTCATCTCACACAATTTTTAGCTGTAGAATTCTGAGTCTATTGTTGTATCTCCCATGTACCTTGTCAACTTTTTTGAGTAAATGAAATAAATAGTAGCTTATTGAGTGACTTAGCTGCTAATTCTAACATCTGTATCAGTTCTAGGTTGTTTTTGTTTGATTCATTTATCACCTAATGATACGTCTTATTCCTGCTTGATGATTTTTTATTGAATACGAGACATATGTTACTTTGAGGTTGATGATAGCATTTTTTATTATAAATATATATGCAATAGCCCTTTGAAATCTCACCAAAAGAGGGTATTCCATAGCCTCTAGAAATCTCTAGAACGTATCTGTAAATTTGACTGCAGTCTGTTTTTTGCAACAGCAGGCATGAGTCACTGCATGGGTGTTGGGCGTATTGACATCCCGTGCAAAGTTGGGGTTCTTTTAGCAAAGAGAAAGAAGTCAATTCATGTTGGCTAAACACTAATGGTGCTGGCCAGAAATCGTAACTATTGCAGTGTTCTGAATTGTGTCATACTCGGGTACTTTTATTCATAGATCCCTGCGTAAAATCACAAGTAAGTAGAACTTTGCTCCTCTCAAAAAAGGGTTTTGCTAAAATGTCTTTGTCCATCAGAGGATTGTAAACTTTAACGCCGTGTGACCATGCCTGGAGGAGGTGTGAAATGGGGCTGTCATCTGTCAGGAAGGGGGGCCGGTCCTAGGGAGCACTGAGCCGGGCGGTCACCACATTTTCAGATGTTACCTACCAGGGAAAGGGTTCTTGTGGAGTCAACTGACAAGTGCTTTTAAAAGGCAGTAACTTCTTTCTATTTTCCAAGTTGCTCTCTTTTTACCTTTGATTTTTTTAGTTAGCTTATTTCGTGTCTATTTTTTCTTCTCAGTATCCTTCTTCCTTTTAGGTCCGCTTTCCTCTGGTTTCCTCAGTGAACTCTTCCTTTTCTTACAGAAGTGATATTATCATAAGAGCATACGTAAAAGACCAATAATATTTTATTGACTTCCTTGAGCTTTTAGCTCGCATTTGCATTTTAATTAGTCTGATTTCCGTTCCTATAGGTGTCCTTCAAGTAGTGAAGCAGTGTGTCCAGATCCCCGTTTTTGTGATGATTCGGCCACGCGGAGGTGATTTTTTATATTCAGATCGAGAAGTTGAGGTGATGAAAGCTGACATTCGTCTTGCCAAGCTTTATGGTGCTGATGGTTTGGTATTTGGGGCACTGACTGAAGATGGACACATTGACAAAGAACTGTGCACATCCCTTGTGGGTAAGAATTTGTGTCTGAGACCAAATAGCTTCGAATAATGGTTGCATTTAATATTCCTGAGACAGAAAACCACAATCACAAAACTGACTTTTCAGTCACCTGTGCAGGTACTTACAGTCACCCGCAATACACAGTAGTTACTGAGATGTTTGGGCAGAGGGTGTGTGTGGCATAGCCGTCCTCTTTTCAGTTGCTGTAGATCTGGTTTTGCTACTACTGTTCCTGAAATGTCCAAGGAGAGTTTACCTTGATTCTTTTAATTACTGCACCAAAACCCACAAAAGCTGTTGCATTTGGTGAGGATGGGGAGGTGTGGAGAGGACAGAAGTAAACTATCTGTTACTAGGTCAAAGTATTGAAGATTCTCAGAAGAGTGAGCAATAAATGAAATGAACGCTGCCCTTATAGTTGCCAGATTTTATAACTTTAATTTGGTGTCTCTAAAGAGAGGGTGATCTTTTTTTAATATAATAATTAGATTAATAGGAACATAGGACTTCTGCATTTGGAGGGCTGCCATTTTATTATCATTTCAGTTCACTGGGGATAGGAAGGTATATGGTCCCATCTGTCGTGGAGAGTACTGTGTATAGCAGTCAATGATGGTCTCTTCATTCATGTTGTTCTGTGACTCTTTTATAGCTATGTGCCGTCCTCTGCCAGTCACTTTCCACCGAGGTGAGTCATTTCCATTTTAGAAGTTCTGTTGAACAGTGTCACCTGATTTCACCAAATGCCACAACTTTTTTTCGGAACAAAATTCTATAGTGTTACAGTGTTACCAATTGGTTTCTTTATACTGATCTTGGGACTAATAGTTGTAAATTTAGAAATGCACAACTTCTAAGTATATGAAGCTTTAGTTGTGAAAAGTTGTTCAAAATATACGGTGGTAAAAAAAAAATAGATGCTTGTGGTGGGGGCGTATAATAGAGGGAGAGAGAAAGCATTGCCTACAAGTGTATGTACTCATCACAGTGTTCCAGGCAAGAATCCTGGACTCATTTTTACTAGATTGCCTTTGGTCATACGCAACCCCCAAAGGAATAAATTTACTGCAGCCAGTGAAGTGACATTTACTGCCTGGCTTAAGCTAGACAACACCATTCCTGGAGCTAGGAGTGAGGTCAGCTTTCCCAGAAGAACATATGATTCGTGGACAGAGATGGGGTGGATGTCTGAAGAGGAATTGGATTCTGTTAGGAAGGAGGAAAGAAGATACGCTGGACAGTCACTGAGCAGGTGCATGTTCGCTGCAGTGCACAGAACTGCTTTACATTATTGATAATGAGTAATTTTTGAAATTAACCTAACTTCATGTGAAAATACTTCCTGTCTATAAATCAGATAGTTATAATTTCCATACACTTGCCAAATACTGGTAAAATGAAGGCACAAGCATCAGTTTTGCCTTCAGAGGGCACTGCTATTTGCACAGGAAAAGAAGGAAGTCTACAGTGTTTTTTGATTTGATAGTGTGCTTGGGAAATTGTCGGATGCTTTTCTGACCTTCGAGTAAGATCCAGAGATTAGGATAAGAGTGGACACCAGCACTTGCATCCATTTATATAAACTAGAGACAAAGTATTTCTTACCCTGTTTTTCTTTAAATGAGTGATACCACCCAAAAACTGTTTTCTTGACTTGCTATTTAGCAGTGCTTCTCATTGACTAACAATAACGGAAATATGTTAGACTGCTTAAAAGTCAGAACCTTGAGGCTAGTCAAAAATTTTTTTGAAATATAACAACTAATTTTAATGAATAAACATCTGGAAAACATTTTAAAATTTGACATGTTAAATAAAAATAAGCCCATCATATTGAATGTATTTTTTGTTCTAAAACTAAGAAAATCATTCCAAATTTCTGTTCTTTTGCAGTCACAAAACTGACTTTTCAGTCATACCTGCAGATACTAACTTTATATAAGTTTATTCAATTATTCAGTAAGTTCAACAAAAATATTTTCATGTTCCCAAAATTTTCTGTTGGCCTGGGTTCACTCATGTATTTAAATGAGACAGTATGTGAACCAAGGCCTTTTCTAGAACTGATGAGTAATGTTTAATTCTGCTTGTTCTGTCTGAGCCTTAAGGTAGACTTTACCAATTTCGAGTCACTTGCCTGTCACATTTACAGTTTTATCATACCTGATTGCTACTTGTGCAAATTTATTTAATAATTTTCTTAAAGTAAATCCTAAATAAATTTATTTTAAAGAGAAACTTATATAATTAATGAGAACTGGAAACTTCTCACTCATCTGCACTTCATTTAATAAATGCGTCTATTCAGATGTGTACCACCTAAACGATCGTGCACACCGCCCCTGGTGTGCAGATTGTGGTGTGCTGGTAAACTGGCTCTTGGGGGAAGAGCCCCGGGTAGTGGCATTTTCTGATTGTTGTGGTTTAAATACTCTCACCTTCAGTGATTTCAAGCTGCCAATGGTCATGTTTGCAAAATTTCTGAAGATTTAACAATTGGCTCTTGCAAGCCCGCAGAAGCCAAGTCCAGCTCACCACTGTGTATAGACTACGTTTTAGAAAGCACTGTGTCAATGATGTCTGTTCAGGGTGCAAATCAGTTTTGTTTATTTCAGCCTTTGACATGGTTCATGATCCAGTGGCAGCTCTAGAGACTCTCTTAACCCTGGGATTTGAACGAGTGTTGACCAGTGGATGTGACAGTTCGGCTCTGGAAGGGCTGCCTCTGATAAAACGGCTCATAGATCAGGTACACACACAATTTCTTTCTGTTTTTCCTGAGGCTGCTGTGCTTACTCCTGATATTCTGTTGTTCAGCTAGGTCGTGAAACCAGATATTACTGACTTCATGTTTACCATTTGGAAAAAGCAAGTGTGCAGTAATATATTCATGTAATTCTATTTGTTTCATGTGAGCGTTTTTAGTAACCAAAGCTCTTAAGATCAGATTATAGACAGTACCTAACCCAGAGCAAATTTTACTTTTTCTCTCCCGTCAGCATTGCATAGTTTTAAACCACATCTTCTCACTGGCAGTCTTTGTATACTCAGGGGATTCCATATAAAATTTGAGATCAAGGGGGAAAAAGGGTGAAGGGTTCACAGGAACGGTTATAAAGGACATATATGGACAGCAACAAGGTGGGGGTGGAATTTGGGGAGGGAGGTGGGGAGGGCTGGGGTGGTGTGGAGTGGTGGGGGAAAAGGCAGAAAACTGTACTTGAAAAATAGCTAAAAAGTTGTAATAAAAATTTTGAGATAATTATCATTTTTAGGTGAATTCTAAAACTGTATTATTCTCTCATCTCTTTCTATGTATCAAGATAGGAGGAAATACAATATTTTTCTCTTGTACACCCTGGTGTGTTAGCATCATTGTAGAGCAGTTGGAAGATGGTTTTGTAATTGGGTGTGTCTGTGTTTTTCTGACATAAGTCCAGAGGCATTCTAAGTTAGTGAGTATGGACTTTGAGAAGAGAGGGTTTTAGATTTGAGATCCAGGTTTGACATTTATTTGCTGTGTAATATTGAATAGATTACTAACCTTCAAACCTCTGCCCTTATTATATGAACTGTTAAAAGGACTTATCTAAGACATAGAAGATCAAAAACTATGAACAGTAAAATGACAACAAACTCACAACTATCAACAACTGAACCTAAAAAACAAAAACAAAAACTAAGCAAACAATTAGAATAGGAACAGGTGCACAGAAATGGAGATCACATGGAGGGTTATGAGTGGGGAGGGAGAGGGGGACGATGCGGGGAAAAGGGACAGGGAATAGGAAGCAGGATAGGTAGGCACAAAATAGACAGGGGGAGGTTACGAAAAGTATAGGAAATGGAGAAGCCAAAGAACTTACACGTATGACCCATGGACATGAGCTGTGGGGTGAGGGGGAAGCTGGAGGGTGGGGGTGGTACAGGGAGGAGGGGGATAAAGGGGAGGGAAAAAATCGGGACAACTGTAATAGTATAATCAATAAAATATACTTAAAAAAGAGTAAATAACCAAAATAATAAAAAAAGGCATAGAAAAATTTGTTAAAAAATAAGCCTCTGTTTCCTCAAGTGTGAAATTGAGATAAGTTTAATTCTTCCTGTGTGGGGTTGCTCTAAGGATTGGTAGAGACAAGATATCTAAGAGCCTTAGCACAGGGTTTGACATATAATACATCTTAATGCATGTTAGTTTCTACTATTATTAGTACCAGTATTATTAATATTATTTAATGTTGCTGGGTAGACATTTGTTTATGTTTGCTTTTCTATAGACAAAATAATGTTTGGAAATTTCACATACAGATCTGATATGACTTTGCTAATCTGGAACTTACTGATTTTACAAATATTTATTAAGTGTGTAGTAGGAGCAGGGCATTTGTATTATGGTGATTTCAAAGGGTGTGTGTGTGTGTGTGTGTATAACCACTGCCCTTACAACGTAGTGCGCAACAGGCACTTTCAATAGAGCAAGCAGTTTTCATGGAATGCTATCAAAAAGGTACTGTGGGAACATGTGGGGCAGGGATTAACTCCAGATTTGGGGGATGGGGGTTGGCAGTAGTTAGCTTCCCAGAAGAAAAGACGTCTGCACTGTGAGGTCTTACTCATTTGAAAGATGATTAGGGGCTATCTGTGTAAAGGGGGGTGGAGGAGAGGGAGAGTGGGGGAACGCTCCACATAGAATAATGGTATGTGCAAAGGAGTGGAAACAAAAGGGAACATAAGACACTGAAGAATTACTGTAATACTGAATGTGAGGAGAATAATACTGTCCAGAGTCTTGAAAACTATTTAAGAGTTTGTAGTTTATCCCTTGTGTACTGGGGAAGCCTGCAGTGTTTTAAAATAGAGGATTTGATGTATCAGGTTTCCATTTTTTTAAACTTTTTTTTATTGATTATGCCATTACATTTGTTCTATTTCCCCTCCTCCGTTCCCCTCCACCCTGCACACCCCCTCCCCCACCATTCTCCCCGCTTTAGTTCATGAACATGTGTCTCAAGTTCTTTAGATTCTGTATTTCCCATACTATTCTTACCCTCCCCCCTATTTTCTATCTACTGTCTGTGCTACTTATTTTCTGTACCTTCTCCCCCCTTCTTCTCCTCCCACTCCCCTGTTGCTAACCCTCCATGTGATCTTCATTTCTATGGTTCTGCTCCTGATTTAGCTGTCCTCTTAGTTTGCTTTTGTTTTAGGTGTGGTTGTTAATAACTGTGAGTTTGCTGTCCTTTCACTGTTCATCTTTTTTATCTTCTTTTTCTTAGGTAAGTCCCTTTAACATTTCATATAGTAAGGGCTTGGTGATGATGAACTCCTTGAATTTGATCTTATCTGAGAAGCACTTTATCTGTCCTTCTATTCTAAATGAAAACTTTGCTGGATAGAGCAATCTTGGCTGTAGGTCTTTGGACTTCATGAGTTGGAATACTTCTTTCCAGCCCCTTCTTTCCTGTAAGGTCTCCTTTGAGAAATCAGCTGACAGTCTGATGGGAACTCCTTTATAGGTGACTGTCCCCTTATCTCTTGCTGCTTCTAGGATTCTCTCCTTCATTTTAATCTTGGCTTATGTAATGATGATGTGCCTTGGTGTGTTCCTTCTTGGGTCCAACTTCTTTGGGGCTCTCTGAGCTTCCTGGCTTTCCTGGAAGTCTATTTCCTTTGCCAGAATGGGGAAATTCTCCTTTATTATTTGTTCAAATAAGTGGTCCACTCGTGGGTGTTCCTCTTCCCCTTCTGATCTTCCCCTATAATTTGGATGTTGGAACATTTAAAGATGTCCTGGAGGTTCCTAAGCCTCTCCTCATTTTTTTGAATTCTTGTTTCTTCATCCTTTTCTGTTTGGTCATTTTTTTCCTCTTTCTGGTCCACTCCTTTGATTCGAGTCCCAGTTTCCTTTCCATTACTATTGGTTTCCTGTGCATTGCCATTCATTTCAATTAGTTTAGCCTTCATATATTCCTCTAATTTGTGACTAAAATCAACCAGTTCTGTGAGCATCCTGATCACCAGTGTTTTGAACTGCGCATCTGAAAGTTTGGCTATTTCTTCATTGCTTAGATTTATTGGCTCTGAGGCTCTGAGTTGTTCTTGAGCCATGTTTTGATCTGTTCGCGTCTGTTACCTACGAGGAGAGGTGCCTTGGTGTTTACTGGGGCAGGGCCACCCAGGTGGCAGGTTTGTGACGCCGTGTGTGGGGGCGGGGTCAGAGAGGGAGCAATGGCGGTCCTCTCTGCTCTCCCAGTCCTCCTCACCGCTAGCCCCCGCCTGCTTATCCCAGTGCAAATGTGCGAGTCTGCTGCCCTGTGCCAGTCACTGGGGCCTGTGAGATCTGTCTCAACGCTCCCCTCTTCACTGGTTTATCTGCGTGCAAATGCGCAACCGCAGACAGCCCACAGCACCTCTTCCCTGGGTTCCGCCCATAGCTAGCCAGCACCTGGGATCTGCGCTCCTGGCTGCCTGTGCACCGCCCGGATCTTTTTTGCAGGACTGGCTCCGCTGCTGGTTTTGCCCCTCTCACCAGTTTAGCTGAGTGGTGCATTGTTTCCGGACTCCGTATTCGATTTTCTGTGTGGTTTGGTTGTGTTTATTGTTGTTAAAACTTTGTTGTTTTTAGTATTGATTGTGTGAGGACAAAAAGTGTTCCCACCTACGCCTCCATCTTGGTGGAAGTCCCAGGTTTCCATTTTTAAATTGTTCCTTAGCATGGAGTAGAGAATAATTGCTGTAGTCACATACTGCATTTTAAATCTCTGTGTGTATAAGAGATTTGTAGTTTAATCATGGCTTGGCAAGAAGAGCTGGGTTAACTTTTCTTATGCACTAACTTAAAAAAAATAAAAATTGTGTGATTTAAAATATGTCAACATGCTTTGATATACGTATATAATAAAATGATTATATTCAAGCTTTTATCTGTTTATATAGTTACTGTGTGTGTATGTGTGTGTGGTAAGAACACCAGAAATCTGCTCTTAGTAAAATTTCAGTATTATTAAATATGGCATTATTATTATTATTATTGAAACTGGAAAAGTCAGCATTCAGGCTGCCTGTCACTACCAGAATCAATAAGTGGAGACAAGGATTGCATCTTTCTGGGTGCTTTATTCATATGCTGGCGATCTGAGAAGAAGCAGTTTATGTGCCCTCAGTTTCTGTCTTAACATCTCATCTCAAGCTGACCTTTTTATAAGGAGAAGAAAGGGTAGGTAAGAGGTTTAGGAAAAAAGTTACCATATTTTGCTGTGTATCGTGCCCACTGACGTCTTTGGCCCAAGCTTTCAGGAAAAAAAATCTTTCACGTTAATTTTTAAATTCAATGATTTATTTATTTATGTATTTATATTTAAGTGCTCGATTTTTGTTTGTTTCTGGGCAGCTGACACACTATTTCTTTCTTGTAGGATGCTAATACTTCATAAAGAACTTGGAAGGTTTCACACTCAACATTATCTTTTAGGTTCTTCTTGTAACCCCTTGTTTCAAGTCTTTTGTGCATACACTGTTCTCTGCTTTCAGCACAAAAACTATATGAAACCAGCATTCAGGGAAGAAATCACAACTGTGGTCATGAACAGTAACTCCGCCCTCACTCATTTGGTTTTCCAACTCATCAACGGCTCTATCTTCATCCAAAATGAGACAATCATACTCTCCATCATAGCCGTCCTATAACTGCCCTTCTTGAACTCAGTCACCCACGTTAATGTATTTTAGTCCTGATCTTGATGCAGGTTCTTTGCCTCGCATGGTTTTTCCTGCCCCTGGTGTACCAGTGAGCAGGGTGTTCAGAAGCAACACGGTCCTCACCACGATGGCTCCTTACCCTCACTTTATTTAAACTAAAAACATTTGGAATCCTTTTCACAGGCTTCTGCAGAAGCCTTCTCTTTAGAATTTGTTGCTTTGCTACATAAAATCCCTCAGGGAACAATCATATTGAATGTTCACCTTAACTTTACACTGTGAGTTACTTAAAGCTCATTAAAGTATCATAACTTGTCTTGAAAGTAAGGAGAAAGTGGTTTCTCCTCTCCTCACAGCTGTCGCCGTGCCCTTCCTCGTCAGTGCTTTTGTGCTGTCACTGCTTTTGAGACTTTTGCTTCTCTTCCTTGGCATTTGTTATTGCTGGTGTCAGTCAGTTTTTACTTTATTCCCTTCTTTTGGTTTCTGTTCTCTTCTGTTCCCTTGTATCTTCTTTCTTCTTTACCCTTCTGCCCCCTTCTCACACCAGACATGAGACCTCTTCTCTTCTCCCCATTCGTCTTCCCCATACTAACCCATCGTTCAGTTTTCTCATTTGCCCTGACTGGACATGGTGGAGAATTAAGTATTTTTTTTAACATTAATCATATTTATTGAATACAGTAGTTGAATATTTCATTGTGTTATGGAAAAAGAAACTAAGTTATGGGTAGTTCTTGGTCGAATTTTTTCCATTGTTCCGCAGCACTCAGTAGAAGATTGTCTACCTAACCCTGAGTTGGGTAGTGTCGGAGGACTGCACGCACAGGCTGAGCAGCTGGGGGCACATGACTTGGAATTGTGTTGGTGGGGCTGGTTGGCTGGTCCAGTGTTAAAAACCCATCTCAGGGAATCCACATGTGAACATTTTCAATTCATGTATAATGTAAAGATTTTATTCTATAAGTTATTATAAGCCTGACATAGTGTGTAGTTTTTTTTCTTTTCCTGGTATCTGCCTGTTTCTAATAGTTAGTTAGTGGTTAATTACTAGTAGTAGTTAACTAGTAGGAATTGACTAGTAGTAGTTAATTCCACTATTAGTAGTTCCTCTAAGTATGCATTTGTAATGGGTGATTTCCTTTTGAATTTCAGTGATATATCACCAAAATTTATTTAGAAAATGTGATGGGGATTGGAAGAAAAGTAAGGAAATTTCAATACTTCTAGAATTATCATAAATAAAATTAATCCATATAGTCTAGTATTATTACTTAAAACCTAGTTAAGTGGACCTGTGGTTTTATTTAATTGGTATGATAAGCTAGGGAATTTAGTTGAGAATACAAAATGTGAGTAGGTTTTTTTCAGTAACTTACAGTAAGGCTATGCTCTTTCTTTACCATTGAAATCTTGTTTAAGTTCAGCTGCTTCCGCCCCATCATATGCCAAGAACTCAGAGTAGTGTTGTTTTTCAGTAATGGCTTTTCTTAAGGTGATGAGATTATTCAGTATTTATATTGTATTCTCCTGTTCTTTGTGTTTATAACAGTACAAATTTTTAATGTAATACAATAAAATAACTGGATAGAAAAAGTTACTATGTTGAACATCTTACTTATCCAAGATCCCAAAGAAATGGAAAAGACCTATCGAAAATTAAACACTTCATAGTAATTTTTAAAATTTAACTTATGTTTCTGTTCTCACTGCCTTATTACCTCATTTAGAGAAAGATATTAAAATTTACTTGTTTATTTTTTTTTTCAGGCTAAAGGCAGGATTGTGGTAATGCCAGGTATTTATCTTTCCGTTCACTAGTGCACCACTGATCTGAAGCGGAGCAAGAGCAGGGAGGCAGGGTGGCATGGGAGTATTAGTGCATATGGTGTTCAGAGAGAACATACATTTGATTAACACGTTTAAGATAGGAAGATCTCTGCTGGGATTTAAAGCTTTAGATAAAGAGGAGAACATCCTAGAAGGGATAAACTCAGCAAAAAACAAGAGAAGAAATTGACTAGGGTTGGGCTTTCTCCATGTTTGCTCTCCCACAGTGTAGAATTTTGTGAATGTGGATGTTCATCCCTGGTCAGGCATGCTCATTTTGCTGCTGCACTATGCTAGGGCCAAATGTCCAAGCTGTTAACAAGGTATAAGCAAATAATACCCCAGATAAATATAATGCTCAGGTCTTAAAAGTCTCTGATTGCCAAATTCTTGTTGAGGTCAGAACAGTCAGATCACATACATGCCCCTGATGACAACTGTGAGATTGGTGACATGCACACTGGCTCATGAGAAATGAAGTTTTTAAAGAATTAAATAGGCCACCTAGAATCAGAGGGAGACAAATATAAAGAGTGTCTTAATTTTTTATTATTAAATTTCTCAAACGTATAAGACAGTATAAAATAGCATATATTCATTCCATAAATTTAATGTTTTGTAAAGTTGGTCTCATCATCCTGAGGTGTTTTAAAGTCCAGTTAAAGGCACCAGGACGTTCTGTCTTTGTGCATCTTAAAAAATCAGAGCATTTTACTATGACCACGATGCTGTGGTCTTGTTTATCAGAATAGACACTGATTCCTTAATACCATTTAATATCAGCAGTCCTCTCCTTTCTCTAGTTGCCCCAGAGTGTTTTTTATAGCTGATATGTTCAAATCAGGAGCCCATCAGAGAATAAGTATTGCCTCTCGTTGTTATCCTACTATTTTTAATGTAGAAATTTTCCTTTTTGTTTTTTTAAAATGATATTTAAAAACTTTCAGCATTTACCCTGTAAAATGTCCTACTTTCTGGATTTATCAGATTGTTTCCTTCTGACATTTTTAGCTTGTATGTCCTAGCCTCTGCATTTCCTACAGACTGGTAACTAGATGATAAGGCTCAATTGGATTCTGGTTAAATATTGGCAAGGCTGCTTCCTGGGCGATTCTGTGTATGTCATATTACATCACATCAGAAGGATGTGATTCGGTGTCTGGTTGTCTCACCACCAGTGATGCCAAGACTGCCCAGGGGTCAGAATCGTGATAACTAATAAAGGCCAGCTTTTAAAAAGAGGCCATGTAAAGGGATAGTGCCAGAAATTTAGGAATATTTTGCCTTGTAGCAAGTCCCTGAAACATGAGCAGATAGAAAGCATATGTTATCTGTCAAATTTGAGACCCTTTGTTAATTAATCAGGGAATGTTAAAGAGGTTAACCGAGTCTAATGTGTTTTCATTTAAGACTAAATATTTAGTCTTGATAACTAATAGGCAGGCTTAGATAATTGTTAATATTAAGATTGCCTTTGCTTGTTATATAATTATTAAGTTGTCTTCTGTGTGCAAGGCATTACTTGGGAGGCAGAGTTACACAAGAAACGACTTCCTCCAGAGGCTTGACAGTCCTGGGTGAGAAGGTGCTGTATATGAAAATATTTGTGGCTGTTTAACAAACTTTACCAAGCAAATGATAATTATATGCCAAGTTCTTTGGAGATATGAAAAAAAAACAAATGAATAAGAAATAATCCTTTTACTTGAGGAACTCACAGAATAGATCTGTAAATTATTATCATTTCATAAAAATAAGTACCAAAAAGTAAAAATTCCTAGGTAAGTGAAACCAAATGCCTTGATGAGTATTCATTCATTATTGAGAAATATAAAGATAGTAAAACATAGTTGTTTTCCTGCAGGGGTGTTCAACCTGCAGCCTGTGGGCTGCATGCAGCCCAGGACGGCTGTGAGTGTGGCCCAGCACAAAATCGTAAACTTACTTAAAACATCATGAGATTTCGGGGGGGGGGGGTTACGTGTCTCAATGTATTTAATATGTGGCCCAAGACAACTGTTCCAGTGTGGTGTAGAGACACCAAAAGGTTGGACACCCCTGCATCTAGGGACTTTCATTATGAAGCTTATAACAAATTTAGGCACCAGTTTCCCCATCTGTAAAGAGAGGATGTTGAACTAATTTTCCTCTAAGGTTCTGACTATGTGTTGCTCTGTGTTTGGAAAATGTTTTATCTATGTCCTAAAATTGTTGGTACCTGGAGCAGCATGGTTTCAGTGGCCAGATATCTTGTTATTTGTTAGAAGGAAATAACATGTTTGTATTTTAATCCTTATAACGAGTTCTGAGGTGGGCAATTATCCCTCTTTTATTGGTGAAAAAAATTGAGGCTCAGTGGTTTAAAGTTATTTATCTGAAATCATATAGCTGTGAAGAGTTACAGTGGTGAAGCTAGAGTTAAGATCTAAATCTGACTTCTCAGTCTGTATTCTTTTTACTTCTTAGGGCTCAGGGATGTTACTGTACCTCTAAGAAAATAAAGTTTATGAATCTTAAAGAGTGTGTGAAGTCAAGTTACTTCAGCAACCTGAGCAGCTTGAGATACAAAGTACATATTTTATCAGTCATTAAAAATATTCATTGAATACTCCTGTACATTAGGAGATAAAGATAAAAAGATGAATAAACTAATTTTATATTTATAATCTGGTATCAGTTGAGAATAAGATTCTTTATGTATAAATATTTAAGAGATTGTTCATCAAAACAAATGAGTGATCATAAGTATTTGAATGTACAGTTTTAATGAAGGAGAGTTAGATTCTTCTGTGAAAAGAAACAAAAAATTGATATTATAATAATAAACTGTGTAACACTTGGCATTATTCCCATGTCTAATGACGTCAGTGTGGTCTTTGAATTCTGGTCCAGAGAGAGAATCTTGGAGGTTCTCTTTCAGACACCTTTCTGAGGCTGCACTTTTGTAGCTCTGACCTCAAGTCAGTCCTTCCTTTGTTTTCATTTGATTTTTTTTTTAACTGAGGGGGAGCAGGGATAGAATGCTTGATGATTTTCCTTGCCCTAGAGTAACCTTCTTAGATTTAAAGTCTGTAGCATATAACATTGTTATGTAAACCAGGGGACGTAGAAGGTTCCATCATATGTTCTATGGCCTTACCAGTTGTTCTTTAGAATCTGTAGTTCATCGTTCTTTCTAACTTTATTCTAACTTAGTAGGTAGAGCAAGCAGTCATTATTATTCATTAAGTTGTATGCAAAATTCTATTCTACTTAGTGTATTACTTATTTTTTTCAACAGGAGGCGGTATAACAGACAGAAATCTACAAAGAATCCTTGAGGGTTCAGGTGCTACAGAATTCCACTGTTCTGCTCGGTCTGCTCGAGATTCAGGAATGAAGTTTCGGTAAAAGTGTATTCTTTGACACATACAAGAAAGGATGAGATTAATCTTTACTCCCCAACATAGGAAACCTTAGTTAATGGCATGATAAATGAATGGAATGTTGTGATTAGTACATAAGTCTTGCAGTTGTTCTTACCCCGCTGTAAATAAGTGGGCTCTTCTGAACAGAGGTGGACCATTTAATCCTTAAGTCATTGTCCAGCTTAGACCAGTCAGTACTCAAGTAATTTAACAGCTAAGCTTCACATGAGTTAGATAAGTGTGTGCTCATTCTCCGGTGCTTTCCTTTAGCAGATGTAGTAACTGTGGTATAAGGATGGAGAGTCGTGGTTATTTTTATCCCTCCTACCTTTAATATTTAGTCTTCCCTTACCCTTGCTCTATTTTCAGTAATCTTGAAATTTTATTATTTTTAAGGAATTGAAACTCTTATGTGACTTGAGAGGACTCCTATAATTTAATAGTAGTTGATTACTTATAAGTTGGGGGAAAATGTGATGTAAAAGAAGCAAAAGCCTTAGAACTTACATTTCTAGATTCAAAATCAATTGTACTGTTTGGTAGATTTGGCTACTAGATGTTTCAAGTAATTAATAAAAATTATGCAGCTTAGCAATCCAGGGTCCTCAGTTTACCCTTGTTCTAGGCCATGAAGTCGCTTATAAAATGAAGTTCCAGCAGGAGGGCTTATTTAACAACTTACATAATCATCTTTTCCTTTATTGTTTCTGTTGCAGAAATTCCTCTGTTGCCATGGGAGCCTCTCTTTCTAGCTCAGAATATTCTCTAAAGGTAACAGATGTGACTCTAGTAAGGACTTTGAATGCTATAGCTAAGAATATTCTGGTTTAGCCGGCCCTCCTGAGAGACCTGGATATCACGGGATGAAGACAGAATAGTTTACAGTTCTCTGTGACACAGCTTTAGCCTCTTCTCTGCCCAGGACAGCCACGGTCTTTAAGTTTCACATGGCTGTGGAGAATGTTTCCAAGAAGAAAACTTGAAACAGAGCTACAATCATTACCTTTGCTTAATCTTGCCACCCATCTTCATTGCCATGGCCACTCTGGTCTGTGCTGCTTCTGTAGACAGAGGCTTAGTCTGTTTTCGTTGGATTTAAGTGATGAACTGAGAAAATTCAACTGCAAGGTATGAATTTAGAATGTGACGTCAGGGTCAATTTCATAGCAATATTTTGCTTTTTTTTTTTGTAAAATAAAAATGTCCATGCTATTAACAGCAGTCTGTTATTTTTTACCATGAATACAGTCGAGCCAAGTATGAAAGGGAAGATTTTTGTTTTGATTTTTCCTCCATTTTCTCTTTATTATGTATTCACTGGATATGGTGCCCTAGGCAAGATGCTAAGGATACAGAGTAAAATGGTACATCATAAAAATTCCCAGACTTCGGAAGCAGCATATAAAAGTTCCCTGACTTGAAAAAGGCAGAAGTGATCTCTTGTGGTACCTCTGCCTCTGTTTCCAGATGGAGGAGTGGCTTAAACCATAACATTCATCTGACAGCTGACAAGGACCTGTAGCCTTTCAGCTGAGGCTACCGATTGGGAGAGTGTAGTCTAATGACGAGCAGGCCCCAAATGGTGAAGTTCATTACTAGCTTTTTTGAAGTTCATTACTAGCTTTTTGAAATTTATACTAACTACACACTAATAATAGAACCGTTGTTTCTATATTAGGGGAGTAACTGAAGCTTAATATAAAGAGCCTGCCTTTGGTTAGGAAGCTAGTTAATGGAGCCTCTCTGAATTCATGGGTACTCATGAATGTGTACACTAAGAGCCTTGCCTTCATTTAAATGTGTCCCTTCCCTCACCTTTAAATCTTAGTGCCTTCCCTCACTTTTTCAGGTACAATTTCAGGGTAGAGTATTTGTAAGTAATTTATGAAAAATGAGAGGCAAACTATTTAAAAATCAACAATAACTTAAGGGTTTTTTTTCTTGCTTATTCAGACTACTACGGAAGATAATAAATATTTCAAAACTAGTCTTCATGATTGGCTTTGGAATATAGAGGCAGAGGTGTAAGTATCGTATACACATGTACTCAAGTTTAGTATTTTGGCCTAACCCTCTTCTATACTTGGACTTCACTGCATTCTAAAGGAAAGAGCAGACCATCTCTATCTCACTATCATCTCTCTTTTACTAAATACTGGGCTACTAACCTCCAGTCTTCTGCTTTGAGGTGCTTCTAGAGCATTGATGGGGCACAGAGAGCCACACTCCTGGGCCAGTCAGACACACCTGTGCCAATCTGGCTCCAAGGTGTGAGCATGAGAAAGTTACCTTAATTTCTTGAACTTTGATTTTTTTATTTATAAATCAGGAATAATAACTAAACCATGGTTTCTGGTTAAATGATATAGTAAAGCACCAAGTACATAGTAAGCCCCAATTAAATGTTAGTTCTTTTCTTCTAGGTTAACTTTCTAGTATCAGTCTTTGATAGTTTAAAAGCCCTTCCCAGGAAGCCAGGTGTTGAGTATTGAAACCAATACTTTGTGCCTTCAACTGTATAAATTTAAAAGCAACATAAGGTCATCTCTACCTTGATTTTATTTTTCTACACCTTTAGTCCTGTTTAAAAATATTTACTGATTATTTCATGTATATAAGTTTCTTCTCAAGGGTATTGTAAGTATTTTGAGGCTAGAGGACAATGTCTTCTTATTTTTATATGTGTCTCATTACCCATCAAATTTTATCCTCACATTGATTACATTGCCAGTGGGAAAAGAGCACTGCCTTTGGTAATCGATGCTGAATATCTTCTGTTTGTCCCTCCAGATCCACTCTTCACTTTGCTCTGTAAACTGAGTCCAGCAACATTAAAGAAATTATACGCTGCGACCAGGTAGGATTTACACTGTACCAGTAATGCAAAGCTGGTTTAATATCAAATAATCAGTGTAACACACTATATTAATAAAGTACAAAAATCACGTGATCATCTCAACACAGAAAAAGCATTTGGCAGAATCCAATACCCTTTCATAATAAAAACACTCAACAAACTTGGAATAGAAAGGAACTTCCTCAATCTCATCAAGAGCATCTATCAAAACAAACCAAAACAAACCCTACACAGCTAACATACTTAATACTTTCTCTCTAATATGAGACACAAGACAAGATATCCACTCTCACCACTTGGACTCAACATTGTATTGGAGGTTCTAGCCAAAGGTGTTAGGAAAGAAAAAGCCATAAAAAGCACACAGATTGGAATGGCTGGGGTGGGGGAGTGGTGGTGGGGGGAAATGGAGACACCTGTACTTGAACAACAATAAAAAGAATTGGGGAAAAAAGCACACATTGGAAAGAAAGGTAAAATGCACCATTTGCAGGTGATATGACCTTATACATAGAAAATCCTAAGGAATAGATACACACAAAAAAATGATTAAATGAGTTGAGCAAGTTTGCAGATTATAAAATGAATATACAAAATTGATTATATTATTATACACTAGCAATTAGCAACCCTAAAATGCAATTAAAACTATTCCATTTATAGTAGCATCAAAAGGATAAAATACTTAGGAGTAAATTTAACCAAAGAAGTGTAAGGCAGTACATTGAAGACTATAAAGCATTGTTGAAAGAAGTTTTTAAAGACATTAACAATAAGTAGACACTCCATGTTTGTAGATTGAAAGAGTATTGTTCAGATAGCAGTTCTCTCCAACCGATGTACAGAATCAGTACAATCCCTATCAAAATCCCAAGTACCTTTTTAAACAGAAATGGACAAGCCGATCTAAAATAATCTGGAAATTCAAGGGACCCAGAATAGCCAAACAATCTGGAAAAAACAAAGTTGAAGGACTCACACTTTGGGATTTCAAAACTGACCACAAAACTACAGTAATTAGGAAAATGTAGTGGCATAAAGATGAATGTGTAGCTCAATGCAACAGAATTGAGAATCCAAAAAAAATTCTTACATAATGTCAATCAATTAGTATATCAATTGATTGCTAACAAGAATGCTAAGACAATCCATGGGGCAAGAATGGTATTTTTAACAAGCAATTCTGGGAAAACTGGACATCCACATACAAGAGAATGAAGTTGGAGCTTAACATCATGTACAAAAATTAACTCAAATGGATGATAGACCTAAAAAAGAGCTAAAACAGAATTCAGAAGAAAACAGGCATAAAACATGTGACCTTGGGTTAGATAAAGCCTTAGATATGACATGGATGGACAAGTGAAAAAAAAATTGGACTTTATCAAAATTGAAAAGCTGTGCTCCAAAGGATAACATCAAGAAAGTGAAACTACAACCCAGGAAATTGGAGAAAATATTTGCAAGTCACATATTTGAGAGGGGGCTTGTATATGTGGAGATTACTTGCAACTCAACAAGAAAAAGACAATCCAATTGCAAAGGATTTAAATAGATGTTTCTCAAAAAAAGGTATAAATTGGGCCATGAAAAGACGCTCGATGTTAGTTATTAGGAAATGCAAGTCGGTGAGATACCACTTTGTACCCACAAGGATGAGACTACAACCTAAAAGACTGACCATACCAAGGATGTGGAGCAACTAAAATCTTCATATACTGCCAGTGAGAATGTAAATGGTGGAACTGCTTTGTAAAATGGTCCGGGAGCTTCTGAAAACGTTAAACAGTTGTCATATGACCCAGCAATTCCACTTGTATGTATATACCCAAGGGAATTGAAAATGTGCTCACATAAAAACTTGTACATGAATGTTCATGGTAACATTATCCATCTTTTAGAGTTAGAGAATAACCATGTTGCACTCTAATGGTAAAACTATTAGGTAAAAGGTAGGAGCTGAATATCCACATGGATTGCCCTCTAGTCTCTAGTTTGCTAGTCATAAAAGTAGGAACTTAACCTCGTAAAGGAACTATCTTGTTAACACCTCCACCCAGTAACATATTACTAGCAGTGGAAGATCATGCTGCGGAAGGACAGGATTTGAAAGGGGAAGAGGTCATCTAGAGTATGTAACCCATGTTAGGAAATTGCAGATTGGAGGTCTGTTTTGAGAGCTGTTTTGCATAGCAACAGTTTTGCAGCTAACCTCTCAATGATTATTTAACATATCTATAACCTTTAACTGGTTTCATAGATATGTTAAATAGCTGTGGCCAAGTTTTGAGCCAAGGAGAAGAGAGTGGCTTTGACCCAGGATGTAACTAGGGGTTGTGCCCCTGAGGGAGAGTGCCTGCGTGAGAGCTTGGAAAAGATTGGCTCCGGGACATGAGGGAAGAACTGCCCAGGTGAAAGGGAAAACCACACAGCTTTGCCAGAATGGAGATCCCTGCAGCCAGGTGAAGAAGAAAGACAAGTGCTTTTGGTGGAGTGTGAACCCCTGCAGCTTTGGTAGAAGAGGCCCACGCGGCTTTGGGGTGCTTCCTTTGGCCGCATGGCCTGGAAAGCAGGAGAGACTTTGGCTTGGAACTGGGTACAAAGAACTCTTGCCAGTGGACCATGAGAGGGTACCACAGTACTTTGGATTAACTAGAGAGAGATCCTGCCTGCATGGTGACACAGCTGACGGTGCCAGCGGCCTCAAACACAAACGTGTGCTCTTTTCCTGATTTACGGTACCAGAGTTGGGACAGTGGGAGAAGCGGGAGCTGTGTGGGTATAGGTGTATACCCTAAAGGACTTTGCTATTTTTAGTGGTGGCATTAAGCCTAAAAGCATTAAATAAACATTTTGTTTCCTTTTCACGAATCTCTGGCATTGAGAGATGTCTTTCCAATTGGCGGCGGACAGAAGAGCCCAGTAGATTTTAGTATTCCATCCTTGGGAGGGGCCCCTGTTCTTTAGCAGTTTTTGGCATCCCTAGGTGGGCCAAATATTGCCCCCTCCCTCAGACCTCTTGTTCGGTAACAATAATTATTATTTATATTGCCCCCCACCATGTTATTTTGTCAGATGTATTTCCTGTGTGTTTGTTTTCATAAGAATATTTTAAAATTCTTATGAAAAAAGAATTTATAAGTTTCATGAAATTCTCTTGAAAAGTAAAGAAAATTTAAGAAGACATTTTTCTGTTTTCTGATATCATCCTGCCTTTTTCCCCCCCAGACTCAGAAGAATATTTTTTCTCCAGTACGTTCTTTTTATGGTAGTCCATTTTCTTCTGTTGTTTTATGATCTATCAAGGGTGCATTTTGTGATGTGAAGTAAAGATATAAATTACTTTCACTTTTTCTGTGCCGATACGCTGCTGTCCAGAAAACATGGCTCAGTTCATCCCATTCTCTCTGGCTTGTCAAAAGTTAAGAGCTTATTCCTTCACTGTACTGGGAACATTATTCTGTATCATTCATAACTTTGACTATTTTCAAAAGTATTCAATATACTCCCTTTTTAAAGTAGATAAAACTTTTAGTTGTGGACTCTTTTTGGAAGTTTTAAGTCTAATTCAGTGAGTTTGTTATTTAAATCTATTTTTTGCAACTTGTTTATTCTTCCAGAAAAATTCAATATATTTCAGGTTTTAAAAATTAAAGGGAGAATCCGCATACAATAAATAAAATATTATTAAAATTGTGTTAATTTAATTATTTTTACATAGTTACCTTTTGGTCTCTGGCTATTCTGAAAAGACTTTTTTTTTGTTTCAGAAGTACAAAAACAGATTATCTTTGGTGGGAGAAGTTAGGAGTAATTATTTTATTACTTCATATTTATAGTTTTTAATTTTTGCTATAGGAACATGGATTGCCAGGCCCAATTAAAAACATATAAGGAGAGATTTTCAAAGTGAGTTTGTACCTGAATGCAAGTGCTATGGAAACTGCCACTACATCTCAGCCAAAATGGGAAAGGAAAGGACTCATTAGCATTGACATCACGTAGATTTGGACAAGGCTACCAGGACTGGCGATCTGATCTACAAGTGCAGTGGGATTGACAGAAGAACAATCAGAAAAGTCGCTAAGGAATCTGGTGAGATGGGAAAGGGCTCCTTCCAGTAAGCCTGGGTCTTGGACAGACTGAAAGCCGAATGTGAGCACAGTATCACCACTGACAGCTCCCTGTGGAAATTCAAGACCAGCAAGTATTATGGGGCCATCACTGATGCCCCAGGAGGCAGAGACTTTAGCAACAACATAATTACAGGCACATCTCAGGCTGACTGCGCCATCCTGATTGTTGCTGCTGGTGTTGGTGAGTTTGCAGCAGGCATCCCCAAGAATGGTAGACCAGTAAGCACGCCCTTCTGGTGTTCACACTGGGCATAAACAACTAGCCGTTGTATTCCACTGGGTTGCCCTATGGCCAGAAGAGATATAAGGAAATGATTAAGGAAGTCAGCACCCACACTGAGAAAACTGGCTGCAACCCCAACACAGTAGCATTTGTGCCAAATTCTGGTCGGAATGGTGACAACATGCTGGAGCCAAGTGCTAACGTGACTTAGTTTAAGGGATGAAAATTCAGCCTAAGGATGACAATGCCAGTGAAAACCTGCTGCTTGAAGCTCAGGATTGCATCCTGCCACCAACTCATCCAACTGACAAGTCCCTGTGTCTGTCCCTCCAAGATGTCTACAAAGTATTGGTACTGTCCCTGTGAGCTTAATGGAGACAGGTGTTCTCACACCTGGCATGGTTAGTAAAATCTGCTGAAATGCACCATGAAGCTTAGAGCAAAGCACTTCCTGGGGACAGTGTGGGCTTCACTGCCAAGAATGTGTCTGTCAAAGATGTTCATCTTGGCAATGTAGTTGGTAATCACAAAAATGACCCACCAGTGAAAGAAGCTGGCTTCACAGCCCAGGTGATTATCCTGAACCCTCCAGCCCAAAACAATGCTGGGTGTGCACCTGCGCTGACTTGCTCACAGCTCACATTGCTTGCCAGTTTGCTGAACTGAAGGAGACTGATCATTGTCTGCAAAGAAGCTGGAGCATAGCCCATAGTTTTTTAAAATCCGGTGGTTCTGCTATCACTGCTATGGTTTCTGGAGAGCGTGTGTGCGGGGACAGCTTTGCTGACTGTCCTTGCCTGGGCCATTTTGCTGTTCTTGACATGAGGCAAATAGTTGTTGGTGTTGTCAGAGCAGTGGAGAAGGAGGCAGCTGGAGTTGGCAAAGTCACTAGATCTGCCCAGAAATCTCAGTAGGCTAAGTGAGCATTATCCCCAATACCTGCCACCCAGTTTTAATCCGATCTCAGAAATATTTGTCTCAATTGGCCTTTTAAGTTAAAGAGCAGAAGGCTGATTAATTATAACAATGCACTGTGAAATCTTCAGAAGGGAAGGAGAATGTTTGTGGACCACAGCGGACTTTCTGTGTGGCAGTTTTTAAGTTATTAGTTTTTGGAATCAGTACTTTTTAATAGAAACAACTTGACCAAAAACCTTTCACAGAATTTGGAGACCCATTAAAGCAAAGTTGAGTGAGAAAAAAAATGTAAAGGGAAAAAAAACAATCTTTGTATTGTTAGCACTTAAATCTGGACATCTGCTTTAAGGTATTGCACAAGAGAGGAAATTCTTTTTAAGTCTATTTGTAATCATTAGCTAAAAGTATACAACTCTGGGTTTTGTGAACATTGAACTTTTGTAGATTTTTCAAAGTTTTGTTTACTAAGCACACGTGATACAGTAGATTTTCTCCCTGAGTCATTGTGATCAAGCACTGAATCATGAATCATGTCTCAACAATCAGCTGTTTACAGCAGGCACACATGGAACCATTAAGAAGTGATTTGTGGAGACCACTAACAAGAAAAGAAGAAAACATTTTACATAAGACTAGCAGAGCTAAGGCCAGAATTCAGGTGTCCTGGATCCTGTACATCTTGCAGTCTCTCTTAGTGCAGTCTATAAATATCGATAATATTTAAAAGCAAGGAAATCACAGAACACTTCATCCAACAGAACAGGATCATCCCTAAAAACTTGCATGTATTTGACACATTCAGATCACATTGTCAGGGCACTAGGATAGCTTGTGATTTAAAAAAAATTCTGTGTGTGGTACATCCTTCTTTTCCTTCTTTTTTTAAATCCTCACCCAAGGACATGTTTACTGATTTCAGAGATAAGTGAAGGGAGAGGGGGAGGAAGAGAAACATATGACCAGGGACCAAACCCCCAACCCGGCATGTGCCCTGACTGGGACTCGAACCTGCAACATTTCGGTTTATGAGATGACTCTCCGACTGAACAAGCCACATTAGCCAGGGTCCTATTGCGTATTCTTGGTAAAGGCAATCATCATAGTATTTTGTCTTTTGTGTAAATATTATATACATTAAATTAGAAAATCTTCAAGATTTTCTAATCAGATCTTCTAATCATATCTTCCCCCAAGAGCATAAATACTCTTTCTTCAGTGTTCGGTTTTCTTAACCTTCCTGAACTTCAGTTTCCAACTGGTAGAGCTGGAATAAAAATACCTACCTCATAGAATTATTGTAGATTAAAATAGAAAAAATACCTACCTCATAAAATTACTGTAAAGATTAAACAAGATGAAAATTTTAGAGTGTCTGATGTAGAAATATATTCATTATTTAAGAAACCTATGTGAGGTTTCAACTGACATATAATAGATGTTCACTAAATGTGAGTCCCTTGAAAGGCCCGTCGGTCATTGATACAAATGTTGAAGATGCTGGAGCTCCTGCTCACCCTTGAGGAATGTGGGTAGACATCCTTCCAGGGTCACATCATTCTTTTAAGTTCTTTAGATATATACAGGGCCCGGAACAAAAATGCCCCTTTTTCATTACAAACTTTTATTACAAATTGTAAGTATGTAATTTTCTAACATAATAATAGCATACTGAAGCACATCATATGACATTTTAGGTGAAATGTTCAAATTAAAGCCATAAATTATCACACCCATGTTATTACCCTACCAACCACACTCAAGCAGGCCTTACTTACTTCTGCCAGAACCTGTATAATTATTCAAACAACTAAAGACCTTGCTGAGTTCAGGATAAACTATACCAGCTGCCGATGTAAAAATCGCATCAAAAGAGGAAATTAAATTAGGTTGCCTAGTTTTTTCTTAAAGTATTCATTCTGGTTCTTAATGATCATTTTTCTTCCAAAACTCCTAAAATGTTTGTTCTTCAGCAAAACTGTCTAGAACTTTCCAGTGGTTAATGTTAGGCTTTATCTGATTTTCAGCACCTTCCTACTAAAAAAACTAAGGCATTTGCCCCATCCAGTCTTTTTTTAAAGATTTTACATTTATTTATTTATTTTTAAAGAGAGGGGAAAGGAGGGAGAACGAGGGGGAGAGAAACATCAATGTGTGGTTGCTTCTCATGTGACCTCCACTGGGGACCTATCCTGCAACGCAGACATGTGCCCTTACTGGGAATCGAACCAACGACCCTTTGGTTCACAGCTTGCACTCAATCCACTGAGCTACACCAGCCAGGGTGACCATCTAGTCTTTTGATACTTTTCTTATTCTCAGTGATTTAAAGAGATTTCAGATAACGGTCCTGCAATTATCTCCATAACTTCTCCCAGAGCCTGTGCTGGCTTGCACAAACTTCTTTGACATTTACTCTACCCTTGCCAATGTATAATGGGAACAGGGAAATCTCCAAAGACCCTGCTCTCCCTTGCTCAAGGAATTATCAATATTGATAGTTCATTTGAATTAATGCATATTATTTGAATACATACAAGTATACTTGTATACTTGAATACAAGTATACATATTATTTGGATACATACAAGTATACAAATTTTATGTCAAAATGGAATCATACATACTATGCTGCTGGTTGCTTTCTAATTTTTTGCTTCTTAAAAAAACAGACTATATTTGAAAGCAGTTGTAGGTTCACAGGAAAATTAAACGTAGAGATTTCTCATCTAGCCCTGCACCCACATATGCTGAGCCTCTCCTATTATCAACTTAGCTAACACTCCCCGACAGAGTGGTACGTTTGTTACAGTTGTACCTACGCTGGCACTTCATTGTCACCCATGGCCATACTTTATATTTGGACTCATTCTTGGAGTTGTACATTCTTTGGATTTGGGCAAACTTATAATGACATGAACCCATTGGT